ACCCACTTGATACGTGATAGCCCCGGCACTAGTACTACAAGTAGTAGTAACTAGTAGTACTACTCGACCCACACTGACAACTGCACTCATTTTATCATTTATTATATATATATATAATTGCTTGTCACCAGTACTGAATAATGCTGACAATTTCTATAGTTACTCTAGTACGACAACTGGTTTTACCTTGTGCGCACACTAGTCAGGGCCTGTCTGAGAGGGCTGGACAAGTTTTAAGCTACATTTCATAAGCCGAAGTAGCGGGAGAATGGCGAGCCAGCGTCGGCCTTCAGCGGCTTCCTTGCGTGTGCTGCGTCGCTCATGCCACTCCGATGTTGATTCTGCTTAACAGTGCATTCGCGGCCGCCATGAAAAGGTGAGCTCATATCATAACAACTTCTAACGGCGCTAGCGTGGGATGATCGCAACCTGGTGAGTTGACGTTGCTTAGTGAATCTCGTGACTTGTAACTTGTGGATAGCTAACCAATCCTATCATTGCCAACCTCTGCAGCGAGAGCTGCTCAAGTCGGTTTCGCGGTGTGCTGAAGCCGGTGACCGTACAGTAAGACCCCCAACAACAATTTTCTGCAAGGCTCAAGTAGGTGATATGCAACCAGGAGATGTGCTCCCAGGTGGTCAGGTTGGCCAGCATCAAGAACGTGTGGAAGCAGAGCAGGCAGCTTACCTGCAGCCACTGCCAGCCATACACAATCGTCCCCTTATGCTTGTGAAACGAGAAGAGCTGGCGGCGACCATGCTAAAATCTCCTGATCCGCTGAGTGGCCATGAGGAAGAAGACAGCTATGAAGATGAGACCAACCTCGCTGAGCCGAAATTTCTGTGTGGTCAATGAACGTACCGACGCACACACGCCGTTTGTCAGGAGAGCCTTCATGGCCAGATCCAGAACCCAACCCTTTCGAACGGAAGTGACAAGGAACAAGCAGAACCACGCTGGGCTCCAGCAGGGAAATGCCCTGCACGCCCTCGTAGAAGAAGGCCTTACGATGAAGCTCGGGCTCGTGCATGCCCGTGCCATACATGTAGATTGAAATTGTGAGGTTTCATGTCGTTTCACTGCAACGCAACGTTCCGGGATGGGTCATACCGGACATGTTACTGAACATCTCGAAAGGCTTCTTTCTGCACGAGTATGAATACAAACCTGTTCTTTCAACAGTGGACAGATGCATTGTTCCTCTGTGGATCAGGACGTCCTGAGACTCGCATCGGTCACTCGTGTGGCGATCTGCTCGACAGCCCCTGCAATCCCCACGCACGCGGTCACTGCGAAAATGGCACCGAATCAGACTAGCTTGATGGCTTCATGGGCGAGCTTGCGTGAGTTGCTTCCAAGCGGCAGCTAGCTCAACACACTGCAACAGGAGATACCAGAAGAAGAGCACTCGGTTGTTTTCACCTGCGGTGGGGGAGCGTCTGTCCCAGCTCACATCCACTGACTGCGCGCTAGTAACGGAGCGTGAGCACCTACGCAGCTCCCAATCCAAGGGCAGTGGTGGTCGTGAGTCCGCACGCATCGGCCACAGTCCTGACTATATAAGTCGGGAATGGGATAGACTCGCAACCTCCTGTAAGATGGCTAAACAATTTCTCTGGTGGAGACCACTCACTCTGTGCTCTCGACTCAAAAACCCACAGAAGTGTCCCAAATAAGAAGGGGTGTACAGTGGCATACAAAACACAACATTTTGAACAGCCACTGCTCCGTGCTGCCACGCGTCATGGCAGTGTTTTGTCCGAAGCGGTTGGTGCAACTGGCACCGTTTGCACCATCGTAGCTGCGTTCCTGGCCGTTGCGCAATTCGCAGGCATCCTGCGCATAAAAATCGTGAGAACCAGGTTCATATGGCTCCAATCACCCATGGCTTGGACGCCAGGACGATGACGCAAAGAACAAAACGAGTGCGATCTGCGAAAGTGTTCACCCAAGACCAGGTGGCTAACTTTCATCCCTTGCCCCATCTCCTGGTGAGTTGTCTGCCTCCAAGTCTTCGGCAGGTCCTCGCCTTTTGAGGATGCCCTCCTCGGTACATGTATGGCCCCTGCATAGCCTCATCCTCTGACCAACTAATCACTTGAGGCAGTGCATAATCGAAGCTGAGGGAAGTACGTCGTAGTCGAAGTCCTGCATCTTGGAAAGTTGATTGTACCGCAGACAATACACTGAAGTTGTGCAAGAGCGCTGGGAGGTCCAGAGATGCATTGTCGAGCTGGCTGGAGGACGCGGCATCGCTGGGAAGGACTTTCATTTCCTGGACCAAACACGAAGTGTTCTGTCGACCGGAACGCCGTTTTTCTGCAGACCAAGACTCACGTCAGCATCTCGAGCGAGCTTGGCTGGTAGCTCAACGGAAGTGCAGACAAGCATCGCTTTCGAAGCTAGCCCCCACAACTTCTGGAAGCCTGAGGCACGCCATTGCTCAGCAAATGTTATTTGACTGCTATTTCTGGTTGAACCTTGTGTCTGTCATGATGGCATGCAGTAAAGCAACATCATCGGTTTTCCCTCTTTGGAAGCTCCATTCCATTCACTCATCGAAACAGCCGCAGCGCAGCACAACAACATGCAGCCTTGCGCACTGCAGTATGTAGTGTGGGCTGGCTGGCCACCCACTTGCAAGAACCCTGGATCCGTCAAGGACGTGCGCAAGTAGCACGCCACCGTCAGCAGCACAAGCAGCCGCAGGCCACGGTACCACAGGCCATCATCTTGCCAAAGTTCTGCCCTGTGCCATGCCACGTCCGTCACGATCAGACCATGCAGCGAAAGTACCAAGACAGGGGATATAACGCGCTCAGAGGTGCAAATCTCGCAGCATGAAGCGCGACTTCCGGATGTCCCGACCATCTTTGAATAAGTCACGGCAAGACCGAACCATGGCTGACTGGCCACTACTGCAGTGGCTGCCTTCGGGTCCGTCTGTGCTTTGCGTTTTTTCCTTGCTGACTTCGGAATCTGGACTATCTGCAGGCATGCCTGGGGACGGTGCCTGTCGCAGGATTTCCACCCGATTTCTGCAAATTGGTACAGTTGAGAAACTGCAATGACAGTAAAATAGATATCTTTAATAACTAAGTACCGATTGCTCAACCATCTAAAATCTCCTTGGACATGCACATTGGAGATTAGCTTGATCGGAGTCGCCGACAACATGTCGCAGTCGAGCGGCAGCGATGTAATGGGGCGACCGTCATCAAGCGGACATGGGAGTGCGAAATTATGGGACACAAGGAATTTCACGCCAAATGAGGCTTTCTGGAATCAGGGTATGATGAGGTCAGAACCGTCGACGGCACTTGTGGGATAACGATGCATGGTTTGTCGAATGCCAGAGTCCCTAGAAATGGAAATCGCACTGCGAAATCTCTGCTGCTTTTTGCTGAAAATCAACTACAACCGAATCTGGTTGATGCTGGTTTCAGCAGCAAGTTTCTGTTGAACACTCGGGGCGCGTGCGCTCGTTGTTCTCATGACTTCAAGCAGAGGGACTACGGATGGTGTGTGCACATGCAATGCCCATGTCGTAGAAGGTCCTGGGATACTGCAGAATAAGGCTTTCCCAGGCAAGGTGTTCTTTGAGGCAAAGGCCCTGAGTAGCCCAACCAAACACCTAGAATCCCAGATCTGCTCCAAGGGCGATCAGTGAATCCGGCGCCGCATCGGCAGATGTAGCACTCCAAAAAATCAACTCTGTTGTTGAACTGATCCGGGAATTCATATTAATCTTCTGGATTTTCTCAGCGAGCCACGCCGAACCGCATTCAAATGAGACATGGTAGGGGCACCTGGTAAGAAAGGGGATCCTTCATAGCCTCGCCTGCTTGAAAACAAGATTTTACTGCTGCGTCCAGCCGCCATCTGCCCGCGCCCTGTCACCCCCACCAGCCACCTGTCTCCATTTGTCCCCTGACCTGCCCTGCAGTGCCGGGGCGCTTGCTCCACAGGGAGTGCTCAGGTTGAGTGTTGTTTGTTATTGTTGCCCTCACAATGTTCTCTCAGAGAAATGCCGATTTCAGTCGGGATTCCCTCACATCTCGCGCTGAAGTATCATTTGAATCATCTGGCCTCCTCGGGTGCTAGCAACGTCATCTCTGGTGCGGCTTCTGGTTTGAAGGCTGGTCTATGTTGCCAATTTGGAACTACACCGAGAAGGGTGTACTAAGAGAGCAGTGAGCCGAATGCGTCCTGCAATACTCGTGTAAACATGCAGGAAGCTACATGGCATAGCTTGATTCTGTTGCCTTGCCACCAATGCTGCACTGTCCATCTGTAGTGATGACATTATTGCCGTTATCCACCAGCGAGACTCATGAACTATGGCAAAGGAGTCGTCCATTTTCCTGAAAATGTTACGAGGCTTCGTCCGCGTCCGCAGCTGCCTCGGGTTGTTCGTTGGTGAGCTGCTTTTTGACTGTCGCAAGGATTCAACTCGGAACTTACCTGTGCTGGTAGACGGCGCAATCTGCTCTGAGCCACTGGCATGGAGCTGAATTGTGGCCGTTTGCTCCCTCGGACATCCAGGAAACATGACCAGTCATTGCCGGAGAGACCCAAAAACGGCAATTTACCTCCTGCCTGCCCGAAATCGAATGATGAAAAAGCCCGTTCCATACTCTGCAGCTATTTTTGGCGAGAGCAGGGAGGCGCCTCGCTTTTTGAAGCTTTGCCTGCGCACAGGGCAGGGACTACCAGGCTGAAGCCCTCGCTACATGTCGGCTAAGCATGCATCTCTCTGGGTTCGGCATATGCAAAAGCACATGTCATGCCCTTGCTTCGCTTGTGGGTTAAGACAACACCTTTGCAGCCAAATGAAACCATCACATGCTAATGCTGCTAATGGATGATGCGGTTTGACCAAAGGGAGATTGACTTGGGGCAGGATCTGCAGCATTTCGGCAACTGGCAAAAGCACTGGGCCTCGACAAGCTCCGGAGACAGCTTCGCAGCTCCCTGAGGCGATGTGTCACGACAGCGTGCAAAAAGCGCGTGCTTCTGCACGAAGCAGCAATGGGCCCTTGTTCCGTATTGCAGCCCGACCTCGTTCTTCCAATCCCAACCAACCTCGGAATGGGAGAACAACAAATGAGGTCGCTCCATCGTTGAATCAGCACACACACCAGCCGGGAGCCCGTCAGGCTGCGATTTTCTGTGCAGCTTTCGGACATGCTCTTCAGCGTAGAGGGGCCCGGCAGCTCCCTGTTTGCACTAACACGAGTAGGAATTAGTATCCGGCCCTCCCCGCTCAAATTAAACCAGCTTTTCCGTGGTGGTGACTACGGGTGCTTGCAAAGTGCACGCTGCTTGAAGCCAGCTTGCAACAGGACACGGCGCGTCTCTTCTTAGAAGGTATAAGCCAATATTTTGTGAGATCTTTTCTGGAACCCAGGCTCAAATCCTGCATCAGGGAGATCCAAACAGAAACCATGAACCAAAAAAGGAACAAACTAAACAAGTACCCAAGAGCCTTTTAGAAGGTGCGACGGTATGCTCGAGTTGTTCCCTAGCAGCCTCTTCATCCCTTTTGCCATGTCTTTCTGTCTAACAGTCTAACAGTAAAGAGAAGGTCTCTGACCCTACGTTTCTCGTCAAGCCGCCATCGGCCCGCACGGCCGACCGAGAAGTTTTGTGCTGCGCTCTGCCTGCGAAGGTTGCGACTCTCGCGCTCGCAGAGAGCAAAGGCTTCAGGCGACAAGTGGGAGTTTCCGAAAACAAGGGGTACCTTATTTTGGGGTCCTTACAATAATTAAGGTTCCTACTATTTAGGGTACGATATTAGGGTCCCCTATTTTCGGAAACTCCCAAGTGTCCAACGCTACTACAGTGACATGCGGTTGCCGCTGCTCATCTTTATCAGCCCAAATGGCATCCAAACTCGTTGAATGGAGCAAAGGCTTAATAAAAGGAAGAATGAAAGATCCGACGACATTTTGAGGAGGGAACCTGTCTCCAAGTTATGATTGCCACGAACCAGTCTCAAAGCAGCGTTCAAGAAACCAGAACGGTACAGGCACAAGTATTAACAAGTGCTTCAGAGCGGCCACTGCGACCCACTTTTCACATCTTTTCACACTGGACAAGTACCCACTAGTTTCGGTGTGCTGTTGCCTGCATGCAGGCGAATCGACGAGCAAACGAAGTCGCAAGAGCGATGTCAATGTTTAGGATTTGGGGACCCGGCGTCGCGTTCGCCCTGTTAAACGAACGGAGGTACCATGTTTTGCAGACCTGCTTTCTAAATGGGGGTGATGCATATATTGCCAGATACTTTGCTAAAAATCACCGGGTATTGTTCGAGTTTCTTCTCGGAGTCAGTATCAGCAATCCAGGTGGCAAATCCGACACTCCGACAGTCCCAAATTGACATTGCAGGAGACCTGCTCTGCCAGCTGCTTGCTTGTGGTTAGTTAACCCACTGATGCGTTTTGGTGTGCAGGTTGACAGAGTATGTCGGTCAAGCACCGTGAAATTGAGGGAACTGATTCCTAACACCTTCCAGACATCGGCACAGCCTTGCGGGCGGATAGGAGCGCCTTTCGGATCGCCTGGCGGGCGTCTGTTCCAACCTACCCGCCGTCTCCCCCCTAAAAGACCGACAAGGGGAATCTTTATCTACCGGGGCGTTTGCACCTCGTTCTCGTACGCAGGCATGGCTGTGGTGTAGAGCTCTTCCTGTTGCGGACGAAGCTTTGCGGCTTTGCGCAAATGCCCCCGCCTGCCCAGATACCACAGGATGGCTGCAATGAGCATGTCCGACAGCTTGACACGTTCAAAGATGTCGCTCAGCAGCAACAGCTGCCCACACAACAGCGGGTAGCTGAAGCAGCCCTCGCGATCCACGGGCGCCTCCTGCCCGTAGAACAGGTCCATCAAACTGACCTCGCAAGCTGGACAACGATTGCAGGTTCGAAGTTCGGTCATGAGGCAAATATTGTCCGCTTATTGCCGGCTCGAAGCATGAGGGCATACGCATATGGCACACTTCCAACACAACAGAATGGTACTCAGCAGCTCTGCTAACTCCTTGCCCCTGCGAATGCCGCCACAACTGATGCCAAGCATAGCAGCCATTGAACATAACAAGATCGAACACGGCCTTGCCACTTCTGCAAGATTCGCCTTCGCATTTCCTCAGATGCGGCCGGTCCAGGAGATTACGTTCCTTCAATGGCCGATGGCGACATAATTAGTGACCATGCTTCAAGGCAGGTGGGCAACCCCCCCGCAGCACAGACAAGTACTGTATCACCAACTGAACCGAGCTTCCCTGGAGCAGCGCCGCCCGCGTCGGTGAAATGCCCGTACTCCCGCATCCTGCTGGTAAGTAGGGTTCAAAGCGTGAAGGGTACGATACCAACACAACAAACGTGAAATTCACGGTGTGATGCATCTCTCGTCTGCGCTTGGCCCAGCTTGGCTTCCTGGTCACTCCACTCAACGACTCTATACAAAACACATCCGTTGCAAGCTTCAAGAATGAGATGCCTTGTCCCTCCTAACTCAAAGTATTTCATATGCGGTGCTTGAGCAAAGGCGGAGTCCATGTGCCACTCGGATCAAGGCCGGTTCCCCCGGCGGTATCAGATTCGCCTTGCAGTGATTAAACGGAGTGCCCGCGGCAGAACCCTCCTCGTCATGTTGCTCAAAGTGACTGCGCCAGAACGAAGTGCAAGAGTCGCTGTTGTGCTGCAGGACAGTTGTTAGTATAGCAAAAACAACTGAAGCTGGTCATCAGCATGTGGGGTGCTGCGAAACTGCATGTGCCCGAGGTCCAGATACCAACGAATGGAAGGGTGTAGCAGTGGGATAGTCCTATGCAATCTGTTCAGGTATGTTGGCCAAGACAGGCACGGCACATTATTGATCGCAGAACTGCTTTTTGCTTGTCCCTGCCTCTCTGTTCGAACGTCTACGGCTTGGGCACAGGAAAATACAACATGGCTGCTGCACCTTGTCAGCCTAGGAGCCGCAAAGCTTCTTGCAGACACTTGCGTGCCGTTGCGACGTCCCTGAAATCCAAAGCCGAGGAGGCCAATTCCAACTGTTCTCGGGCCTTGTCACGCATTGGACCTGTGCCCTGTGGTGCGAAGCCTGCCGGCATGGGACTGGGACTCTGGGTGACGGGTGGGCACGGGGCCGCCGGAGCCGCCGGGCTTGCTGCATAGGCAGCTGAAGGCCCAGGCACGGCGGTCTCGGATTCCTCCCCCAACGACCCTGATGCTGCACCAGGGTCACTGGGATACGAGGGGATCCCCTGCTTCAATCCCTCCCTAATTTGAACAACTCTGAATCTGGCATATCGAGCCTTTTCAGCCAGGTCAGGAGGAAGCTCGCCATCATGAAATTGAGCACACACATCCAGGAAAAGAGCTGCTGCATAGAGCTTGGAAACCGCTGCTGCTTGCCCGGTCTTGTCCCGTGCAGATCTGTCAGAAGCATCTGCAGCGTCGAACACCCGCAAGGCAAAGGATTCCACCGTACCTTGTCCATCGCTGCTTGAAATGTTTAAGGACTTCTTGACGTCTTCGGCTTTTTGCAACTCTGCAAGCAACAAGTTCTTCTCCTCCCCGGAGGCCTCACCTTTCTGATGTGCACGCATCAACTGTTCGATGGCGTGTAAGCGGCAATAGTATGCAACGGCCGGTTCATGCTCAGCGAGCTCCTCAGCTCTCTGAAAGTACGGCCGGCACTTTGCAAGCAGCGACATGGCTTGCTCGGGGGACACGCTTGGCTTTCTCCAAATTCGTGAATGACATGGGATGACATGGGCTTTCTGTGACCAATGAGTCTCCTGTAACTCAAGGGAGGTGTGCAAACTCTACTTACAGGTGTCTGCCCTGCCCGCTTCCTGCAGGAATTTGCCCGCAAAAGCTGCAGCAAGACAACAAGTTCACAGAAGATGAAGAGAGCTCTCTGTCAAGGAACCAGGTAGACATCAGAAAGGCCGAGGAGCCGTTTAGGAAGTGGTAGATGACGATGTTCTCCAAATCACCCGTCCTCTGGAACTGCTCGGAGCTGAGAAGCTGAAGAAATATTTCACTCGCAGGGCGACTTCATTTTTGCCCGTTGATCCTGCGCGGCTACAGAAGCCGACCTCGCAAACAACGAACACTCCGCTGGTGCCAAATGGTGCCAAGATGCCATCCATTCCCTTCGAAGGTGTCGGGGGTCACGAACTGATTGATTGGATCAAGCGTGTCCTTGGCTGCAGGACGCCCAGACGTACTCACGAGGACTGTCGACCCCATTCGGCAGATGCGCTCTGTCTTTGCGGGGGGGGGGGGGGGCTCAGGTGGCATCGCAGCAGACTCTGAGGCCATGGCCCATGACGGAATCTGCGGCAAGTCGAGGTCGTCCTGCTTCTGAGCTTTGGAAACCCTGCGGAGTCTGTTGACTGTCATGATCGCATGCTAGTGCAAATGACAATCTCTGGAAGCATTTGTGCAGGTTGTGCTCGGTCAGCAACACGTGAGACTTCAACTTCCATGGGTCGAGCAGTGTGGAGATGCCAGATCCTTTGAGACCCGCTCGGTGTAGTTGAGGAACGCACTGAAGGTCCTTGGGTGTGTCAGGCTAGGTACCAGTAAATTGCAGACGGCTAACCCTTTTAGTCTCGTCCCCAAGCAACCCATCAGCTGGGACTGAGACTGAAACTCGATGGCGCGCAAGCTTTCGAAGCTTTCATGTCGCGTGTACGGATCCAGCCTACTCAAAATTTAGACAAGATCTGATTGAGATTGCTGTGTCATGTGGACAGGCACTGGGACTCTAGTACGTAATGTGAAGTCGGAATGCACGCCGGCAGCATGAGCCCGAGGGCTTCTACTCAGCTCCCGAATCCCATCGACTGCATCCAAGCGTCTTCTGATCGTGCTCATAGGGATGATGGTACATCCAAACCTGATGGTGTTGCAGAGCTGTGGACATGTCTCGATACCATAATGTGCTTCGGAATGCTTCGGAAGACCTTCTCACGTTCACCTTTTCCGATCTCCTCGGGTCCGGCGGCTGAGGCCAGTCTGGACAAATACTTCGGTGGGTGTTGCCATGGGCAGCTCAGCTGTAGCAACCAACTGCTGGTGTGTAGAGCTTGGTGCAGGCTCCGTGGGCAAGTTCAAGACTCTCGATTGCACGTAGTGTGCCAACGAAGCAGCCCTTCATTACTGAGGCCCTTGCGAGGACGGATAGCAGCCAGTCCACGACCACACGCGTGGAGCGGAAATAAACCTTGCATCTTGCACCGATCCGGTCTAGCAGCCAAGCATTCTTGTAGTTACTTGGTAGGCGACGACTGCAGCACCCAGACGAGATGCAGAAAGTACTGGGGCCATGGCGATGCCGTTGCAGATGCAGTCTGCCTTTCGCAAAGAGGGTTTTCAAAAGTGTTGAAACCAGCAGAGGAAGGGCTTTCTTTAAATATTCGTACAAGTGCTTGTGAGCACAGTCGGCAGAATAAAGTCGAAGTCGTGACACTTTATTGTTGTGCACAGCTGGAGCCGCAGCCTCGAATGAACCTGAGACCAAAAGGTCGTATGGTCCGCGCCTTACATCAAGTCCACAGAGAGAACATGCAGAAAGTGCAATCAACATGAGCAGTTCGGCTAGCAGCGGCTCTTGGGAATTGTGTGACAACAGAATTACTCGAGTTCGGCTTAGGCTTGCGACTCTGCATGTTCCAAAAGCTCTGGCGTTGGGTCGACCATAAGGAAAACGTCCAAGTCGATCCACCTCACGGAAAATCGACACTCGAGAGCCCTTGGGAGCTCCCTTCCTATTCTGTGCCACTCCGTGCAGATCACACGTCCTAGGCGTCCTAGAGTTCCTAGAGGCCTCAGATGCCGAGGCGTGGCCGAGACAAAGCATGCCAGCAGCACACGGTGTCCAGCCCAAGGTGTGCACACATCAACGGCAAAGTGAACTTGTTCATGATTCCAGGGGTTCCTGTGCAATCATGTCGCACATTGTGGCAGGCGATTCGGCCATGCGAGACCCAAGAACTACAGACGAACAAAGCGACCTCGTCGGCTCGTCAAAACCGTCAAAAGATCTTCAAGAGATAGTGGTCTCAAGAACACACGCCCCTAGGCCCTAGGCAAGGACAGGGAGGTCCTCGGATGCATCTTTGACCATTCTCCACCAGGCACCTGGTAGCAAGATCTCATCATTCTGAGCAAACTGCAAGCAGGGACGCAGTCTTCCAGACAGACTTGCGTCAGTGTCGCTGTAGGACTGGGTGCCCAGCAGCTCAAAAGCTTCCTGGTCTAACCTTGATAGTCTCAGACCAAGTTTGCAACAAGACCAGCACTGCTTGCATGCACAGAAGTCAGCACGGCATCTGTGTGTTTTGCTATCTGTTTAGCCGATTCCTTCCCAAAACTGTATGGTCGTGCCGAAACAGGGCGGACGCCTCTAACAGTGCATGACAGAGCGTCTGACGCAAAGATGAGCAAGCGCTCACCCACAAGGCCCACTGATCGGGCGCGAGCACAAAAGCGACGCATGTGCCTGCATTTCGACGGGAGGAAGCGAAGCAGGCATCATGACGACTGATGTTTGAAGCCTGCTGCACAGAGAAGAAATAGGTGTGATGTGCTAGCTTCTGCCTGCTTCCTGGCTCAGCTTGTCGGCGTGAAGCTGGACCGGAGTTGTTGCGAACTGAACATCAGTGAATCCGACGAAAGCGACGAAAGAGATCCCACGACGGAACCAACTGCTCCAACTCCAAGCGTGGCAAACACTGCGATCCAGGTTTTACGTCGCCTGTTGAACTTTGCACCATAGATCATTGTGATGTACACAAGGTTGGGCGCCTGCTTCAAGAGAGTGGCTGACTGAAAAACGGCAGCATCACAAGGAGAAGGGATTTTTGAATGCAGATGACCTAGCAGAAAGCGCACGTAGTGTCTCCGGCCTTGCTAGTCGTATCAGTTTTTTCTTAGGCCCAGAGTATCCCAGTCCTATGTCTTGCATGTCTGCCCACCGGCCTCTTCCCAAGCAGGCCCCAGCTTTGGGAGCACAGCTGCCAGGTCGCGGAAGCCTTGGTTTTCCAGGAGCCCGGCTGGTGGTCCTACGAGCCAGCCGTACGCCAAAGGGCAAGACATGGACTCCGAGTTGATGCAGGAAAGCCTTCGCCCTCTTTTTGCATTTACTTGCCTCTAAATTCATCCGGGCGTCTTTGAGAGCTTTCCTGTCAGGTTGTAAAGCTCAGGCATGGGCTGCAAACAGTCATCAGCCGTCACGACTCCAGCTGGGCAAACAATGGCAAACAGTAGCATGTAGCAAACAATTGGTGTCTAACAACATGCAGCATCAGCTTCAAGGCTAAAGCAGCCGCAGTCAATGCTTCCTAGCCTTGTGTAAAGATCCTAGCCAGTTGCCCATTGCCGCAACGAACGTCGTCGACCTCGGAAACGAAACTCCCATCAAACTGCCATGGTTAACTGTTTTCTTGTCGTCTGTGATCTCCGCATGGTGAGGCTCCGGCTGACTCAAGATCAGCGGTGAGAGATTGCCGGACAGCTCGTCCTGTCGGCCAAGATGTGCAATGCTACATTGCAACAAAGACCCACTGGCCCCAAATGCACCAAGTGTACAAGCCTCTGTGAAGTCGAGGAAGTACTGATGTCTGGCAGTCGTGGCCTGGGCATTGGCCCACTGTGTCACGCACGCACACAGGCATCTACCACATCAGCTGTTGCAGTCCTGCTCACGAGATCTCACGAGCCACTCTGAAGAGACATCTTCGGTCTTCGGATGATCGAACGCACCCGGGAAGCCAGCAAGAAAGTTGAGCAGTGTTGCCAGAGGCCAACGGCCTGCACTTCCGCCGAAGTGCGAACAGCTTGTGGCACATCCAAGGGGAGCTAAGCGAGTCTGCGACTAGTTATTTGGATAAGGGTGGAACCCCTAGTGCGGTGAAGTAACAGTCACTTCCCTGGTTCTGCAAAGAACCCGCAGAAGGGGTTTCATCTTGCCCTCGCCACCACGTCACGTGAAAACCCAGCGCAGACGCAATCAGCTGCAGCCAAGGTGCTGTGAGCCAGTAAATCTAACATGTGCGGCCTCAGGCCACTGCAAACATGAGGGACGAGCAACGGCAAATGCATCAGGCGGTATGCGCACAGATAACCCACGCTTGGACCACTGAGTCCCTAGCGAAGACTTCAGAAAACGTTCGGCCTCGTTGATGCATTCTGCGCTGACAGAGTCTGACACAGACGTTCTGCAATCTAGATTTCAGAGGTGGGCCAGCAAACCCGTCGGTCACAAGCTTATTTACGCCATGCATGTTCGCGAGATGAGTCTAGTGAGCGACTGAACCGAAATCTCACCTTTGTCGTGTCACTGCCCGCCTTGCCGGCAAAACTGTCGAAGCAGCTACTTTCCGTCGTTGCACATGTAATGGCCTGACAGCTACATTTCTGGATGACATGCCGGCCTGCCTGGCTGTTCCGTATGTCTGTCATGTGCAGATAGACGCAGCGAGTGGTAGAGCGGCAGTCAGACATAGACACGTGGAGGTACAGATGCACCGATAGAATCGAACTAGTAACACTAGTACAAAAAATTCGGTACATACACGTGCAGGTATGTGTCTCAACGGCTTTATGGCTTTGCACGCACAAAACTGCTTTTCCTCCTGCTGTACCTGGCAAGGCGCCAGGCCTTGATGAGCATTGTCGTAATGAAACCCAACGGGCACTCCTTGTAGAGCTCCTTGCAGGATGGGTGACTTCGAGGGCAGAACCCCCAAAAAAATCCTCAGCCAGCTATCACTGGCAGAAATACTCTTCCCATCGGTGACTTGCAGCCTACTTTCCTGCCTGCGGAATTTGCGTCATCTGCCATGACATGACATAGCGGATGGTAGCGTTGTACCTGAGCTCTCAAGTCTGCAAGACGACTGCGGATTTGGGATCCTGGGCCCCTGCCAGTCTTTCACAGCATCTGGGCGGAAAGCATCGAGGTAACCATGCCAGTTCAAGGCCTCGGACTGCACTAGAAGCGATCTACTTGGAGGATCACGGGACTTAGTAAGTAGGGATAAAAGTAAGGTAACTATATGGTTATATCTACTTATAACCATATTTAGGGGTACTTATAGCCCTACTTACTAAGTCCCATCGCGTCACAGGCCAGGGGCTGCTGCCGGCTCCTCAAGATGCTCGCAGTTGATCACTGTGTCATTGGTGAGCTCCGGGCTGCCTAACACAGGTGCCGTGGAGGGGCCATCATCTTCAAGATTGAGAAGGCAGAAGGGATGTGTTGGGGTCGGTATTACTACATCTTCCATGCCGATACCACCTTGGACTTGACAGCGCGCATAGCGTCATCTGGCGCTTGCCGCGGAAGTTATTCTCTGCAAAACTGCTGGAACCAAGAGTAGGAGACTTGCGCAGATTGCAACACTCGCACAGAAGGAAGATTGCGCATCTTCGGCGGCCTTCCGCAGGAGGGTACCATCGCAACCGCTTTGACCTTGACCCACAAACTCGGACAGTCGCAGCGCATGCCCGCAGAAAGATGCCGTACGGAAAGACTGAGATGTCGCTAGCCACGTGTAATCGTATGGGTATGTATGGGTCAGCGTACTGAGAGAATGACTGGGACAAAAACAAAACGAACTTATCACAGGGGTGAAATCCCCAACATGTTGCAAAGTGGCAAAGTGGAAGATAGCTGCAGCTAGCTGAATGAAGACTCGCCTGCTCTTGATAAGGGTCGAAGTACCAGAATTTAGAGGTTCGGCTGGTATCGGCAAATCAAACGCCTACGTGTCTTCTAGCCAAGCCCAGACAGCTGATAGAATTGAAAAAGGTACCCAAGAAGCTTGGAGCTCGACGTGAGCAGGGCAAACAACGGCCAACGGGATCCTGCAACAAAAACGATGACACCACGACAAAACGACGACACCTCTTGCCTAAGCCTGGAAAACAGCCGCACGGTCCGATGAGCACACGAAGCGGCAGCGCACGCAGCTTCAGACCTCGGACGGTCATGGTTCGTGTCTACCGCATTCTGAATTGCTGCCCGAGCTCTTGTCCATGGAGGCAGCCCTGAGGCACAAACTAGCATAGTCCCGGTATCCAGCAGCATGGTCGCGGTCGCCCCTGCTCCTGCTTCGAAAATGTTTGAAAATCGGCCCGAAGCAGTGGATTGATGTGACTGAGGCCCACCTACACCCAGAACATCAACCACAGCAATGAAAGGACTGCACAGCTAGCAGCATTTGTTTGCGAAAGTGTCGCATCAACATGCCGGCAGCACAACGACAGGGAAAAGAGCGACAGCTCGGCATTTAGCACGCCAATCCTCAGCGAAGCTTCGTAAACTTGCAGACTCTGCTGACGATCTGCACTGCACAATCGCTGGCAGCGACCAAGTATGGTTTCCAAAGCATGACATTCACGGGATGGGTCTCCCCGCTTTTTCCAGCGTGTGTCTCTCGGACCAAGCACTTGGGTCTGACATCTGACACGGCGGTCCCGGCAAGCCCAGAAGGAGCCCGCATTGAAAGTGCGGCTGCTCGATGCTGGGACTTGGCGGATCCTGCTGAGGGCACAGCCATGCTTTGAGCTGTGTTTGAGTCCTTACTAGGACCTCAAATGCGTGTCGCGAGTCGAGCCTGAAACGCTTCAGACGCTGCTAGCAACTGCCTGCATGCCCGGGTCTGCCCAGCTGAAACGATGAAACACCATTACATTGCAGTATTTACAAGCCCTGCATACGCTGGCCCTGAGACCTGCCAGGCATGGTGAGACGGAAGGTGCCGACATGTGGCACTGTGATCTGGCGTCGGCTGGCGTGCAGGCAGCACAGTGCTAGTGGCGACGACGATCGACAAAGACTTCATAGCCAAGCAGAGCTAGCTGTAACATGTACCACCTGCTGCTGACAAGGGCGAGCAATGCAATGCCCGGTGCACAGCTAGTTCTTCGTCGCCGACTAACCCCTGGTTGAACCTACCCCGTGAAGCACATGAAAACTGCCAAAGCGCTGCCTCATGCCACCTTATCTTCTTTGCCACGGCAGCGCTGGATCAATGCGTGGACCCTTGGCTGCTTGAAGCTTGAGGTCTCCGCTATCTTGGCTCAGCTGGGTCAACTCTGTCGCTCGAGAGAGCAACGCATCCTGGACACTGAAGCTTGAAGCAGGACGTATGGGAATCGTCAGGGAATTCCTGGAAATTAATGCATCACGGTGCCCAAGGCCACACAGCGCACCCACCACGGAACGCAACACGAAGCGAGTGGCCTGCTGAGCCTCAAGATGCGGCTGTCTTATCTCCACCAGATAAAGAACAGCGTCTGTGTATGTCTTCGTGGGACGAATTTATCTTGATATGTGCACCGATATGCATGTATATATCTACATGTGTGTACACATAATATGTAGTGTTCTGCATCCCAAACATACCCTCTGCCACATCGATATACATGTCGGCACTTTCACAGAAGAGCACACAGGCCAGGGTTGTCTTAAAGCTGAGGACAAGGGACAAATGGCTCGGTGATCATATTTTTGGAATAGTCATTCTCCCCATTCCTGACAACGCACGCCGGGGAATGGTAGCTTCAAGGATTGTGACCTGAAGATAGGTCCTTTTTGTTGAGACTTTCCCTTCGTGGCCTGTGTCGCTCGCGCCACTGCTTGTCGAATAAGAGATCAGCCGCCCTGTCAACGAAGAACGCAATGTGTCTAGTTCATGCAGCATCGCAAGCCCTCCCTCTCCATCTACGGAACGTGCACTTCACGCTTTTCCACTTTTCCAGAGGTGATGCACTAGCCTACAATTTTCAACGAGGCTACAACTGCCTGCAACCAATCATGAATTGCAAAGCTCGTTGCTTGCTGAGGCTGGTCCTACATTACAATCCATGTGGCTATACCCTTCGAACCCCTTCGAGACAAATGGTCCAGAAACACACTGCAGCGTGTTCTTACCACTAAATTAAATGAACCCGCTACATCATCACAGTGCATCTGTGCGATGTGTGTGTGTGTGTGTGTCAGTTGATCTTTTTCTCCACCGAGATAGGCCGCAAATGAGTCTCAAGCTCTTGCTTTCAGGAGCTCGTGCCCTCACCATCTATCTCCGACTCCATGAGCCTGCTCTGGGCCCTTCCCAGATGAATGTGTATCCAGATAAGCTGACTTCTACGATTCTAGTTCATAAGGACAATGTGCGGCACAATATGCATGTGGACAAGAAGAACCGGGTGGTTTAGATCACCATTGCTATTCAATTCAACCACGTTTGTGGGGAAGTCACGTCCCCCTCTAAGCTAAGAAACGTCCTGCCACATGCGTGCGCGGCAAGTCGCACCAGGTGTCAGGCAGTCAAAACTCTGAAGCGCTGGAGCACACCCAGTGCGATAAAGCTGATGGAACAAAAGACCACCGCTGGACTACGTCCTGGAAGCCACGTAATTGCAGAATCCATAAACTTCTTCGTTGATCTTGCTGTTTCGCTTCTACAGCTTTTCGTGCAAAGGGTCTGAAATCTCCAGCTCCTCTAGAAGCAAAACCAGTGGCGCTGGCTGCAGCAAGAAAGAGCTGCTTTTCGACAGCCTCAACGTTTTCCTCGCTGCACCCCTAAGCGCCCCTCACACAAGCGCAGTACGCATGCTCAGGCATAAGGTGAGCAAAGGCCTTTCCCCTTCCTTGGTTGGAGCATCAGGGGCCTCAAAAACTCCTATGGCTGAACGTTGCATAAGATGCACCCCAACAACAATAGAAACATGCTTTGCAAAACGAGTCTGACAGCTTCGAGTCCGGCTTGTATCTAGCTCGAACTGCTGCCATGCGTCCCTTCCGCTGTGGAGGCCACGACTAGGCCAACAATCAGACCGTACAGCCCCAGAGCCTGCGCAAGTCAACGAGAGAACCGACAGCCGACATTCAGAGCCGCATGGGTTCGGCGTTTAGATGTGCTGCAGGCGAAAATCGTAGCTTCTGACAAGACGAATGCCTCGTCCCAATCCAAGTATGCACGAGCCTAGGCCCTACGCCCTGGCGCCAATTGCGCCTCTGCGAAGATGAGAATCAAGATCATGCCGACCTGTGACAGCAATCATGCGAATCTGCGAGGGAAACTTAAATTTCACTTACTGTTCTCTCTTAGACTTACTTGCTGACTTATTCACCCACATGCGCACCAAGCACAAAATCACGCCAACTCGAAGCGCGACTTGCAAGATTCAAGCTGGATAAGAGTAAATGTCATGGAACCAGGGTTAAAACATGATTACGGGCGCGGGCAAAAAAAGCCAGCAGGGCTAGGTTTCCTTGGTGCAGCTGGCCACGAAGACATCCCAAAATTCTTCAATCGATCCTTAGCTCCTAGGTTTCACCGAGACACGAAGAGACGCGGCTGCTGGGCATTGGCCCGGACGCCAGCATCGCCCACAATGCCGATTGCGAGACCCGCAGCCAGGGAGCTCATGCCCACGGTAAGTCCTGCCAACATGGCTCTGCGAACAAGGGGGGGGTCCTATGCAGATGATGGCGCCTGCTCCCAAGTGCGCGTAGCCGGAGTAAGCCGAGTAGTTGGCTGCGTCCATCTTGCCGTTGATGATCACCGCTGTGATCAGGCCTGGGCTTCTTGGGGTTGACGTGTTGACGTGCGTGCGAACTGCAGCTCGTGGGCTCCTTCCGGAGTGTTACCACGTGAACCGCTCATCGGCGTGGTTTTGATGCTTCGTACGGCTTGGCGGAAGCACGCCGGGTCTGAGAAGCAGTATGTAAAGCCGAGGCAGGTACCATAGATGCCGAGCACACCTGCCATAACCACCGGAATGATGGACTTCATGATCATGTCCGGACGCATGACGCCCATCGAGGCGATTCCAACTCCCGACTTCGCTGTTCCATAGGCCTTGGAACTTCTGCGACGATAAACTTCAGGTGATGAGTGCTCTCCGCATTTTCGATCCACGAAACCATGCCTTTCCCAGGTTTTTCTTTCTTCAACCGACATCGAAGTACTGTATAAGTTGGAAACTCCTTGAAACTCACATATTGAGTTTTGAGGTTCGTGCTTTGCACATCCAATTTCAACCTGCATGTGCAAAGCCATCTCCCTCTCTCATTCCTTTCGTTTCTGCAACTCTCAACACTCCTCAGCTGCGAATGCAACCGGGGTTCCGCTCCCAAGTTGGCGAACACCAGAGCGGAGGTAACTCCCATGAAGCCGAAGAATGCCGAGGATGGATCCTAGGCAGCGGGGCGGGGCAGCTGCCTCTCTCAACCCCTCTGGCTGTTGGAAGCGTTTAGCCTTGGGTGCAACATCGGTCTCCGGCTAAGCGCTAGGCTAGGCCTCCTCCCGTGCTGCATGTCAAACAATTGCAAACCGAGGCACGCAAGGCTGCATGATTCCACGGGCTAGGACAGCGAGTAAACTATGGCGACTATGGCGCAGAGTCCAACTTCAAAAAGGCCGCGGGGTTTGTGCATGTGCATGCACCAGTAGCTTTAAGTGATCGGGCTTAGAGTCTCGGAGATCAGAGGCTCTCCACACCACCGAACCGCGAGTCGATTCAACGACGACAGCGAAAGTTCTACAATCCCTCTGCGTGGCATGGTCCCACAGATTCGGAGCTGACAAGCGAGCCCATTCCAACTGCACTGAGCCTGGTCGTTTCATGACCCCCGGCAGAAAGCGAAGATCGACAAACTCGAGTAACACCCGAAATTGCAATGGCCTGCACGTCGCATCCTTCTGGGAGATGCGCTGGTTAAATCCGCGGCAGCCGTTCGGATCGATACAGTAAGCATAGCCTAGTGGCAGCAGATTCACCAAGAGCCGTGATAACAGCATGGGTGCTTGGGTGCAGGAGTTGTATGCAGGGTTCTCGGTACGGTGTTCATCTTGTCGTGTCTTCCCTTCAGGGACATAGTGAAGCACGCGCTCAGCACCAGCATGCTGTGGCTTGCTGTCGCTTCAAGGCTTTCGTTTGGACTGTTCGGGGCGGCAAGGATTCCTCATTGGCTGCATCCGACAGGCGATATTTCCTCAAACTGTTGGACATGCGAGTTTGCAATGAAAGAGACATGCAACCTTCAACTGCTGGGTAAACCCCATGTCGTTGCTGCTCTCGCAGGCAAATACTGCGAGGACATCATTCCCCGAGTCATTCCCACAAGAACTGACTTCTGTGACTTCGTCTGCCTTGCCCTTAGACTTCACCATCACAATACCAGAAGCGGATTCGACTCCGTTGGCCAAGGAGCTGATGGCGAAACCATTCCGAACTGCATCTACCTGTGAAGCATCGTACAGAGGTGCGCAGAGGTGCGCGACGAGTCTTCATGAAGCACTGAGAGCCGTGTTAGCGGGAAGGACAAACAACGCATGCACAGATAATCATCGCTGTCGGTGTGTGAGCACTCTGCTGAAAAGACGGTGTCCGTCTGGTCAAAAAGGCACCTACGCCCTGAAGCAGATATGTTACCGGCCTGGTTGGAACCGGCGGAATGCAATGTCCAGCCGTCGTGCCATGCCACATCGCCGAATTGCCTGCAGAGGACAACGTCGCATGGCCGGGCTGGGCGTTATTGAGATCTTCTTCTCAAAGAGGGGGACTTCTGGAAAGCGCATGTTATCAGACCGCACTGACTGAATGACCAGGTCACGCAATCGACAACTTTGGCTAATGGCGTGATCGATAAGGAAAACTTCTACCGAAGGGAGCCCAAGATGCAAGTTGTCGTCTTGCTCTGTCCTGGCCACATATGCAACGGAGTCTTAGCTGGCTGTATACGTTTTAAAGTGATACTTGGACTTGGTACTGATGCATTCATGTACTGGCACTATGGCGGCCAGTCCGGCATGTCAGATATCGATGGCTGCATGGCCTTGAACTATCAGAACCTGTCTTGTGCGGCCTGTCCTCGAGGTGAGAAACCAGGTAAACTCCCAGCCCCACAATGATGCCAGAAGTGATTCAAACCAGTTGTACCTGAAAGCAGCCATCTTGGAAGGTGGCAATTGAACCAACTTGATCTTTCCCAAGAGCTGACACATGCACGCACTGTCATCATATGCAGGCTTGAAGCTGTCGGCGGTGTGTGCCGAGAAGGTATCCTTTCGAGTCTCACAGCAATAGAGAAGCCACAACCGGTATGTGGGGTGAGTATCTTCGGATGCAATCATGCAGCGCAGCCGGCCGATACCAGTGGAACCCGCCAATCCAACAATCGCAGACTAAGGGTTGTTGATTGCTCAGCCACTTGACAACAGCAGAGCTGTTTGAAGTAAAACAAACTGCCGCAAGCATCTGAGTGTGCCAAAGTCTTTCCCCATGGCCACCAGAGGAATCCAGGCATGGACTGTTCGAAGGCCTGGCGAATCGAAGCAGCTTCACAGATTGAAACATAAACTGACATGCCAGACTCCAAAGCCCCCTGCCTGGGTGAAGGTTTGGCAGGCCGATCGCTTCGTCGTCGCGGTGCCAATGCGTTTCCGGATCCCCGGGATCCTGAGAGACATCTGCGTAGCTTTCACCATCCACTTGCTTTTCAGCTGGGTCCTTCGAGAATCCGCGGTCCATGAGGATGCAAAGCCGCTCGGTGCCAGCCAGCTGTGCGGCCTCCCATGTTCAGCTACAGGTACTGCCATGGGAAGGGCCATCAATTAGTATAGTATGTACAGTCCGGAATCGCCATCGTCAGGCAAAGGAGCTCGAGGTTTTCGAGTATACGCTTCTTCGGGTGCTCTCTACTTGAAGGTCCAGAGTAATTAAGAGATACCGATACTTAGGTAGTACATATGACCTCTGTAGGGGTCGCGGTTGATGGTTATAACTCCAACTTAGTAGCACTGATACAAAGAAGTATCCTCCTGAACTTATGACGCGGGGCTTTCCCAGCGCCCTGTCTGGACAGCAGTGCCTGCTGCCAGAGTGCGCCCGTGTCTTTGCTTACGAAGTCGCTCACGGTGCCTCCGACGTCGTGACGCAATGCTAGACTCTGTTGGCGTTGGTACCATCTTCTTTTGAAGATCCATGGCGAGACACATCAAAAATGCGCACACCAGATGCGCAGCTGCGCACTGCACACTTTCTCTAGGTCCCCATTCATTGCGAACCCATACTAGTTTGCCTTCATGCCTGTTTCTTGGGCTGTTTCTGCTTAAGTCTGTTGCCAAACTCATACTTGCAGCAGGGTGCTGTCCAGTTCATGCACTGCAAAGGTGAAGCGGACTTCCTGCTTCCATTCACCGCAGGTCCGAACAGCTTCGGCAAGGCTTAACAGAGGCTCTGGCAGATTCTCCCTGATGCTCTAATCCTGGGTTCTGTCCTTGGACCCATCGTCTCCGAAAGCTCGTCGACCATGCTCCGAAAGCAAACTCTCAAGTCTTGCCTGGAGCCGCACAGGAAACAAACATGCGAGCCTCTCAGAGTCCAGGCTCTCATAAACCAATCACAAACTGCAGCCAGTCGCTGATACCGCCTGCAACTCCGATGTTGGCAGCAGCTGTCCTCGGCTTTGACTTGCAGTTTGAGCGTGACACGCAGGTGGCAAGTATGTCTCAGGCAGCACCAAGCATAGTCACCAGGATATCACGCCGAAGGTCTGGTGATCGCCCAACCAGTGGCTCGAAAATCCTGCGAAAGTCCAGAGCAAATGCTGGGGAAGAAAATTCTTGGACCAACCCTGGTTCTCTTTCACTGTTGCTCGGTGATGCCCCAAGACGAACGAGGACTGCCACTGCCGAAGGTGAAAGGAAGGCTTGGGGCCAGCCTTCACGCACTGTGACTGTGACGCCAGAGCATGCCAAAACGGTCACCAGTCACCATCACCCCCCAAAGAACAACGCCTACGATGCATACTCCACGAGGGCGCCGATGACTGCCACTACCACAGCAAAACGACGACGACCACGACGACGACTGCTTCTTCTTCTGCTACAACTACTACTGCTGCTACTGCTGGCGCAGTCAAAAACTTCAAATGGAGTACTGCTACAGCACATGGGCCCATGCCTTGGCTCGGCCTCTTAGTGTTGTCGCACTCTCGCTGAGCCTTTGCATGGCTCTCAGCAAGCTTTGGCTTCAACACTGGAATTCCTAGAATTAGAAGGGACCGAGAACGACCGAAGGCCAACGAGCCGCTCTAGAAAATCCAACACGCAGTGGCCGACATGGAGGGTTCCCACAGCTGGCCGATACCATCGATTCTCTGAAATGCACTGAAGCTATTCAGACAGCTCCGTGGCTGGATTGCATGCGAGAAGATTTCTGATGCTCAAGCCTAAGGGCAAGTGTTCAGGCGGCTCTTGAATGGGAATAGAGATGGCTAGCGAAGCCCGCCCGAGGTCCTGCTCAAGGGGTGATGGATCCTTCACCAGCGAAGCCTTTATTGGAAGCGAGGCTCAGCGACGCAGATGCTTCTTCATGGGATTGGCTATGGAAAGCCTAAAACACTCTGAGCGGCCTCACACGCGGTCAGCGCGACAGCCAAAGCGAAAGACAGGGAGGCCATTGCAAATATACAGAGGCTCTATATAGACTCTAGACATCTCTAGATGCTCCTGCGGTAAGCTCCTGCCAGTTGCACTGCACTGCACTGGGTGCTTGAGGAGTTCTCGGAAGTCGCGAACTCTATACATGCCGTAGTCACCAGAAGTCACTATGGAATGACAAAGCTGCGAGAAATCGGGAGTTCACAAAACATGCAAAAGTGGCCAATGCGATACCCTCGATGTGGAGCTGCACACACCAATGCGGAGTCTAAGCACCACAACATGCACGACAAGCTCGGGCTGCATCTGCGAGAAAGTGGAGTGGTAGGGACTCGCTTGAGGCGCGAGCGGACACACCCTCATCCAACCTGGGAGTGTTTGGCATTGGCAACGTCTCGAAATATGCATACTGGGAAAACTTCAGGTCAGCGCACGCAGATCACCATGGCTTGCTCACAGCAGTGCATTTGCCACTTGTATCACTTCAGAAATTGCGGTGGGTTGACAGCTGAATCCATCCATGCCCTGTCCAGTGCGAGGACTGCGTCTGGGGCAGCTGCTGTTATATGTAGCCTCGTCGGCAGACATAAACACGTCGAAATACCTTGTGAGATCTTTCCGGGGAAGCCATTCTGTTGGCAGTGACTTGCTTGTTCTCAGGCTAAGGTGCTGCCGGGCCACTTTGCACTTGCATCTGTCCATTGGCTCGGATGCATCTGGCTTTCAAACATGCGAGGCCCAAAACCAAGCGCCGAACCAATCTACTTCACGAGTGCCATGACACATCGTTGAAAATTTGATCAACGTGGCCGTCAGCCTGCCTCCACGTAAATGCTCCGCCTGGGCATCTGAAAAATCTGCCAACAGCTCGTAGCTTTGGGCATGTCTGGCATCGGCTTCAATTGCTTTCCAGCATCTAGTTGAGCGCGCCGCCACTTGGACCAATCGATGCCATCCATCATGCCCTCAGTGTGGGCTATGCTTGAACTGGAGCAATACTTGTGCGTACATGCTTGCAGTGGCTTGCCGCGAATGTTGATGGGATGGCCGCGGCTCGACTATCGGACTACCGAACATGATCTGATCCGCTTTTATTTTCTCCTGGACAACAAAGCGGGTAAAGCATTCGATGAATTATGCAACGGAGTCGCCGGATTATGGGGTCGCCACCAAAACCGACACACCACCAAGACTGGCTGCGGCAAGCCGCTACAGCTAGCAACGAAAGCAACCAGTAAGCCTCTCGCCACATTTCTGCAGTCATAGTCGGGGAAGAGAGGACCCTTCTCCGGCTTGACAGGGACAAGCCCTACGACCACCTTGCCAGGCAACTCATTTTGAGTCTCCAGGGACGAGCCTCAGGTGGAAAGTACGACGATCGACAATGCTGGAATGGGTGGTCTGCAGCTACTGCCTCACTATTCAATCCAGTCCATGCCTGAACCGTGGGCAAGAGCCGCAGCCATCTAAAGGGACCTCCAGGCAGCGAGTGAAAATGACTGCGCTTGAAAGCCTTGCATGACTGATAGGTGGTCACAAACAACAAGAAAACACCATCAACACAACAGCACGGGCCATTACTGAATGAGGCAGGGTTTCCAGCGTCAATCGCAGATCCCACTGTCTGTGACTATCTTGCCAGATCTATGGGTCAGGCGTTATGGGCGAGACATGCGCACGACCATTAAATACGAAAGCAACCGCAGCAAAAAAGCCAGAGCACCGGACTCCTTCTTTGCATACGTATTTACGCAGGTATGTATGTAAGTGTGAGTCTCGATGCAGACTGTTTGTCGGTGATATAAAGCAACCAAAGACACAGACACAGATATGGACACCGATACAGAAGCTGATACAGACGTAGACACAAAGACACACCCACACACACACACACACGCACGCCTGGACACCCCTCTGTCGGCACTCTATCTCAGAGGTGATAGAGGTGAAGATGTTTTGTCACATGCGCATAAATCTTGTAGCAAACGGTTACTCACGGCAATTTACGAAGCCATCCAAGTGCACAACAGCTGCTACGTTTTCCTGCTGCTTGATATTGAGCTTCGGTGGCCCGAGCTTTATGATTCGCCCGTTGGATGCTTCGGCAAAACAAACGTAAAGCTCTCGGTGGCAGAGTTGGGCACACGTGCACATGCATGCACAAACACATGCGCACGTATACAAATACATACATACGTACGTGCGTACATACATATCATGCATACATACATGTACGTACACACCCACATATATACACATATGCATACAAAAACATCACGTTTACATACATGCACGCATGCATGCAGACATACATGCTAAGATACGTCCATCCATCCATACGTCCGTCCGTCCATGCATACGAAAGCATGTCGTACACAAACACACCCATGCATGCATAGCTGCCATAGCTGCATATATGCACATAGACTGACATAGACATGGGTGGTTGTCAAAATTAGAATCCCTTGTGGGGTACCCGGGTACCCTAAATAATAGGTGCCGTATTATAATAAGGACCCAAAAACTGACCATAATTTTGACAACCACCCACATAGGCTAGAACTTGTCTGTGTCTCCACGCACGTACTGCACAAATGTACACACATGCGTCTGGGCACACAGTATGTATATGATGGTATGCGCTAACGACAATACCAGCAGCAACAGCAGCAGCAGCAACAACAACCAGAACAACAACAGCAACGGCAACATCAGTAAACAGCAACAACGTCCGCCAACAATCAACAATCGATAACCAGCAACTACAGCAATACCACGACAGCAACAACAACCGCCACCACCACCACCACCACCACCACCACCACTACCACTACCACTACCACCACAATCACAACAGCAAAATGCAAACGATTATCATGATCAGGATGATGAAGTCTGCGCACAAACACACACTTTGCTATGGACTGTTTCTCCCTTTCTGTCGTGGCCTGGGCTATAGACCGAACAGCAAGGCATGTCTATCCATCGCGCAAGTCGCAGACTCACAGTGGCTTACTGCTGCAACTTAACGGTTGATAGATGTGTGTGTGTGGTCGGTCTGACTAAAACGTGCAGTCCGTTTGGCCAGAATGCTTGCGCTCTGGTCCGCAGTGAGGGCCGATGCTTTCCCAAGGGTAGGCCATCTTCAGTTAGAGCATCCCGTGCCCTGTAGGTGTCATCTTTTGCATCTGTCGCATCTGAACCATCTGCAAACCTTTAAACTTCAGCTGAGCACAAATGCAGTTTCACTGGCCCAGCAGAAGGACTCTATGTGATCACGACGCTGCCTCTTGTTGGCCTAATGTTTCGATGCTCTCTGGCAAACTCTCAAACATTCAATGCAAGTTTTTCACTGCTCCGTGGCTCCGACTGCTGGTGTCCGCTCACTTTGGTGCGGACACATCAGCTCCTGTGAGGTGCCAGAGTTTAACTTTGAGCGTGTGGCCTATGGCGTCGACTCATCGATTCCTAGATGTCTACTAGATGTCCTAAATAGGTGTCCTAAATAGTCCAAGCTTCAAGCAGTCGTACAAGGCTCAAAGACGCCAGCACTCCGTGGCAAAGTCCTCGAGTTGGGCTGTCACGTCTAATTCTCGCCAACGCGAGCCTGCACAAGATTGTTCACCCGGCATTCCTACGAGTATTTTACGCGAAAGCTACTCTGGGGCAAATGAATCGGGTCTTGCACTGTGCTGGGGACCGCGAGGACTGCCGCTGGCGCAGCCTGGCCTCATTCATCTCGAAGTCGAGCTCTGCGAGGCGGCTCCGCATGGCCTCGGCGACTCCGTGATGCTCAACAGAAATTCGGCGTCACAAGGAGACAGACCATCCTGAATCCGACACAAGCTCTTGCTATGAACCACTGAAGAGGCAGCAAAATATGGACAGCTAGTATCTTTGCACCCGCTCCGATGCAATGCTCAGCCGTTCCCGTCCCGCATTATGCAAGGCCCTTGAAAATCTGGGAGCTCACAGACTTTAAGTCGGAAGCTCACTGGGGTCAACAGAGCTCGTGCCCCCGAGTTTCAAAAGCCCAAGCCCAAGTCACACCGCGGTCTGCGCATTATCCACCAGCCCGGCGCCCAAGACTCCCTGATTTGGGCGCGCTCCTCAGATTTGGGGAGTTGAAACTTGCCGTCGATGCACCAATTCTGATAAATCGTACCGATAAAGTTTTGTGCTGGCCATGGCCTTGAGAGCGCAACCATGCCTTCTCCGATTTGTCTGCTCAACTGCCTGAGGCTTGTAGACAATAACCTGGAGCGGGTTTCGTTTGCAGATGCCAAGTCCACACGACGAACCATCCACCATGTGTAGAGAGTCGCATTGTGTTCCAGCGAATAGTGCGGATTGATGGTGTACACATAATCTGTCATGATCAGGTTGGTCTCGATAGACAAGTCGTCATGTAAAGCCGCGAAAGATCTGCCTAGGCTGTCCATGCTGCCATACAGACTGGAAAGGAAGTAAGCCTTCACGTCAAAGATCATCACCCCACCCATCTCAATCTCCCCTTTAGGAACTGAAGCTTCAGTTCGCACGACACTCGAAGGGTTCGCGAGCAGCCATGCAGCGGCCACAAATGAGCCCAGGGTGACAAGCGTACCCAGCACGGCCGTAGGCCTCCACTTCATGTATGGTCGCAACAGGCTGCTTGGGCTGCTCACCTCTGGAGACTGATGCGACTGCGTCTCAGAAGGCTCCACAGCTTCAGACTCTGTGCCAAAAACACTTGCCTCGGGCATACTTCTGGTTCTCGCGACATACACCATTCTCAAGCAAGAGAGCAAGGAGGCGAAGGGCAAGCGAGCATCGGCAGAAATGCCTCGCGCATGTTTACTGTGGATTACAAGCTGCTCTTCTTCCGAACTTCTTCCAACTTCCTACTTTCGGTGCTCGTCAGAAACTCGTGCCCAGTCCCAAACAGATGATCAACACATGACCGTCGTGAGCCGAAAGTGGCTGACATGATCAAAACACATGTTGCTCACATGCCAGCATGAAAATCATTTATGCAAATTCAACTGCCAGGTTACGAATCGGAACCGTTTGGAATCCATTTCTGCCGCTGCCCCCAGCCTCCGACACCACTGCCACAAGGGCCCCCACTACACCGACCACAGCACCAACAAAATGCAAAGTCACACGACAAACAGCTTACGGGGCTGTTGACATGCCACATGATCAATGGTTTTTTCTCCTCCGCCAGAGAAGCAGCTGCTCAGCTCATGTTTTGCCTTCCCCTAGACTCAAACCGTTCCCTACAGCTCGCCCGAACCACAACCGCAAGAAGGACACGAGGATCTTTCGAATTGGTTTCGCCAGCGGCGTGAGATCTAGCCGATAGGCGAAATCGACGCTTGAGCTGGAAGACCCGTTCTGACAATGCGAGCCCCGCGCCGCGACAACATCGGCTTCGGATGGCTGCCTGCCCGAAGAAGGGAAACACTGGGGCTTTGGTTTGATGTCCGCAGCAGGGAGCTTTTGGTGGTGGAGTCTGCTGGCAGACGTGGGCAGGGAAGAAGCGACATCGGGGAAAGTCAGCGACGATGCAATGCAAGTTGCCGGTGCTGTAGCTTTTTGGACGCAGTGCGAAATTAGCGCCAGGCACCCGTAGCAGTGTGAGTGTAGGCTTGAGAATACAGCAGTCATTACGCATCGAAACCAGGAAAAGGCCAGCATGTTTGAAATGAGCAGCGTCCATTTATTGGTTGAGTTGAGGGCTAAAACGGCTATGTTTCAACACTCGCAGCTTGGCTAAGCCAGGGTTTAGATTCATTATCAAGACGGCTGCCTACTTCCATCCGAACACGCAACCCATCTCACGCCGTGCAATGCCACGCCCACCGCAACTTCATTGCGGGCAGAAAGGTGCCGGAAATATCGGGAAAAAGCCTTGAACTAAAGATGCCAGGCTGGCCGCAGAAAGGTCTCCACGAACTCCGAGAGCCTCGGCGCGGCTGAGTTCCCAGATCGAGAAAATAGTAACCTGAGTAACCTTCCTAGTGACACTATAGCAGTACCTAGCAGGATTAAGTTACCCGGTGATGGATGACAATGTAACAGTGCCAAGACTAGTAACCAGCCTAACCCTATCTCATGGTGATACTAACCTAACATTACATAGACATACATACATACATATATACATACATACATACATACATACATACATACATACATACATACATACATACATACATACACACATACCACACACACACACCAAAAAAAAAACATCAAGTAGTTTACAACAATAGTACGAGTAATAATAGTAATAGCAATAACCATCAGTACCAAGGCCTTCCCGTGCCACTTCCAGGCACCAGGCGCTGGCCGCAAGGAAGCTTCCATCAGAGCACGGGCTTTCAAGGCAAGTGCTGGCCTGACAAGGACACAGAAAGGTACTATAGGGGCCTTAATAATTAGAATAAGGTTTTGGGGCCCATTATACTATACTTATAATGGGAACCCCCAAAATATTATAGGAAATTATTTAAAGATGGGACTCTTCAACCCCAAGACTCTCCACAAATATGAAACTGTTTGCGAGACTACACACTGCCAGATGGTCCAAACAGAAACGTGGCCGCAAGGACACTAAAAGCCCAGTAAGCAAACCTCACACTGCAGAAGAATCATGTGAGCCCATATGGTATAAGACCATGCAGTAGCACACAAGCGAGTTGACGTTTGACTGAACTTGTTTCATCAGTGCGGTCCGCCTTGGCAGCAGCGGTGGTTCCGGAGACACCTCCTAGCAAATGGATGTATGAGTGCAGTGTTCAGCTGCTCTTTCGCTGCGGCTAGCAGCCACATGCGGCTGGGGTTTCGCCAGTGTGCCATGCGTCTACTTGTGGCGTCGAAACAACGCGAATTATTGCAGTGCTGCCGTGGTGAGGGCTAGTCGGCTAGTCTCTTCGTCCGTTCACTGACACTTTCCCAACCTCGCCGGCCGCGTCGTCATGAACGGAGCTGCGTAAAGCGAAGCAAATCTGCTGCACCTCACTTCCGTCAACGGCTCCTATGACGGACTGCACAGCTTTGTGAAGCCATCAATCGTGACGGTTTGCTTTGATATCGTGCGAGGCCGGGCGCCAAGCACAAAGACGCAAGTCTTCCAACTGCGTGATTTCCTTTGTAAGATCCTGGCACATTGATGCAAACTGCCCTCGCCAACACTTTACAATTCGTTGGCCAGTCTGTCTGTCTTTTTCGCGTCCTTCGTAGAACCTTTGCCGCCAAAACTCTCTGCCCAACACAGACTCCTTTCCGTTCCTCCGGGGGGCCGTTCCTCATGTCCCGCTGGTTAATCTCATTCTCGGTGTCCTTGACAGTGTCAATTTCCAGTTATGCTCCTCTGCTGTCTCCCAATCGCTGAGTCTTTGGAACCAGTACCAAGCGAGTGAGCCGAAACCCGGACAAGCGCGAGGTCGAAAGGTAAGCCATTCGCGCGCTTTTAAGCACTTGTCCACAACTGACCTCTCTCTCTCGCTCTCTCGCTGGGTGCGACATGATCGCAAACTGCCCTCTTCCACGCTGCTCTTTCTTTTCCCCGATAGTTTGCCTGCTGTTACCACTTGTTGACCCAAGTGGTGCTGGTTTGATTTGATCGCATGATAATTACTCGCTCTTCGGACGCCTCGCGTGCAGCTTTGAGGTGTGAAGGCGAAGACTCCGGACTCGCAGAAGGGCCATGAGGTGGGACCTGCACATGGGATGCTATGAACCTTCATCAACCGTACCGCAATGGAACCAGTCAGATCGAGGAAGTCTGCGTTCAAGGAAATCGGGGTTCGAGGCGAGCTCCAAAGCTGAAAACGATGCTAATTCCAGCTCGAAGACGTGGCAAGCCTTGGAGGAAGCGTAACTTATTGAAGAAGTGAGCCTATGCTGGGGCAAATAGCCCAAGCACCCTGAACAGAATTCCGTTCTGAATGCTATCGGCCGGCTGTTGATGCCTTGAGACAAGCACTCATCGGTGACGTACATGGCAGTGATGATGTCCTGAAGTCTACGAAAGTCCGTTGCCAGCGCTTGTCAGCACGGTCATTTCTTTTCACTCTGACACCCTTGATGCATCTGCTCATCTGCTCTAGGAACACTACAGGGCCAAAGGAGAGATTTGATTCTGGGACGTCTTGAAGCAGCAAGGGAAAGCCCTAAACTTAAACTCCCTGAGAGGCCCATGCACCGGACTCGGGCTCTGGCGACTCTGGCGAGGCTGAGAGCGCACCTGGCTGCCAGCGGTTTCAGCTGTTGTGGGTCCCCAGGTCTCCACGCTATCCGGGGAATGCCCCGATAGAGATCCAAACTTCAGGCAGCTTAGAGCCAACACACAGCTGATCTTGTGCATATCAGGCCTCCATGACTGGTCAGGCAAGGCGACACGCCCTGGCGGTACAAAAAGTACACCACCAATGCAAACAACAGCGACAAGTATGAAGCCATCATTAGTACGGGATCTCTGCAAGGCAGGGCTGTGCCGATGCGTTTCAAGCTGAGTGCCTCCAGCCACTGCGGAGAGCCAATGCACACCTCAGGCCATGATCGTGGCCTAGTGAAGTCCCGAGTCCGGGCCCGGGTGGCATCCGTGCCGTGCAGAAGGGAGAAGACGAAAGGCAACGCATATGCACCAAGGGTGTTTCACTTCACCTCACACGACGAATACCCAGCCCAATGCCTTGCAACAGGTTTGGTGAGTCTAAACTGATTGGGCCGACGTTGTTCAGGCCATTGGCCTGTGATGTCGAAGTAGTCAAAGTTCAGGTGTGCCACTCGCCATTCATGCTGCACTTCCCAATCCAACGCAGCAGGCTCCGGGTTGCTACGATACATACATGAGGTCAGACCGCAGTACTGCTGGAAACAACCTTGCCACATGATTGCCTCGGCGGCGACGCAATCTCGATGCAATCTCGGATGCCGACCGAATCGGCCTCCTTCTCGCCGAGCTCCTCATTTCAGGCTGCTCTTGGCTTTCGGATCTTCCGGTGCATGTTGGCTTGCCGGTTCGCACGGTCCAGAGAGGACACAGGCTTCGGGCTTTAGGCCTCCGTGGTTGTTGATTTATCCCGACGGTTATAGCTTCACACTCTTACAACTCGGACTCTGCCAGATGAGGTGCTTTGGGGTAGAAACTGAAGTCATCTCAACACAGTTGATGGTGTGACAAGCGGCGGTGACACCACTTCAGCACTACGTCGGGAGGAATCTGCAAGCTCCAGTCCGAGGGAGCCTAGCCCATCAACTGAACGAAAACCCGGTCCCTCATCCCAGAATCCTGCAGAGCACCAAGCTTCTAGAAAACCTCCTACAAATACTACCCAGTGCCAGTGCCCAAACTCTGAATGCACTATGCGCTCAGGTCACTGCCCACATATTACCATCAGGACTGTCTCTGCCTTGTTGACTAGGAAGGCAGCTGTCTTTCCCAAGTGGGTCCACGACTGCGCGCTCCGGCAGATCGTTTGCTCGACTGTGACTCCTTTCGACTTTCCGGCTTCGCATGCCTTGAATTTCAAATGGCCCCAATGTCGTCGTACATGATTTTTCCAGATGCCGGCGAAGGCTCTACTACTGCAGTATTGCGAAAGTTTGATCCACTCGCTTGAACCGAGGCCTCCGTTCCCCAGTAGAATCCTAACCAACAGGAGCCACCCGCGGGCAGGTGTACCCTTGTTGTATCCATCCTTTCACTTTCCTACCAAAAAAATTTCCAGCAAATGCTGTCACAGTATGTGCTGGTGGTGACAACAAAATGCTGCAGTCCTCCAGCTCCTGGAGCATTTCGCGGACCTTTGCCTCTGCAGGTGGTGCAGGACTCTCCGGCAGCAAACTTCTCCTTCTGCTCCGAAAAAAACAAGCACTCAAAATCTGTCCAAACAGCAACCACACGAACTCTCGCTCCATTGTCCGCACCTCGTCCTCTATCAGTTGCTCGATGGCCCGGGTCTTGATGGCGCACTCCTCTTCGGCAATGTGCGCAGCATGAGCGTGAGGAATGCGAAGACGGGAACTAGTAACTTGTTCTTAAACGAAGGAAACCACGGGCTGCAAGTGACAGCATGTGAGGCATGTTAGCCCGACAGTGCACAACTCTTTCCACCGAACGGTTGGTCTGGAACCCTGGAGCATTGCCATACAGCAGACTCGGTATAGGTTTGGGTTTCTCTGTTCGGCAGGCTCTTGGCAGTGCTCCGGCTTTGCTCAACGCCAATTCCTTTGGAAATGGTCTTCGGAGTTGTTACAAAATTCAGAGTTGCCGACTATGCACATGGCACATGAACAGCTTGAGAGGGCCGATAATCCCTTGGACTCCATGATGCACAGCACAAGCATCCATCAGGCGTGACTCCCAGAGGTGCGTTGTGTCAGGAATGCAACCTTCGCAACGCATTGTGCTGTGCATCATCGAACGGTCTAGTTGAGGCCTTGAGCGACGTAAACTGCCTCAGCCGCCTGAGCGGAGCTCTGCTTGACTGGCGATGTCTCTTTGAGCAAGGCGATCGTCGGATCCCGTCGTGACGATGGCTATAGTCGGCCAAGAGTAATGGCACAGCCGGCAACAGTGTCCAGCGTCAGCAACGGCTAGTGAGCCCTCCAAAGGGTATGTGATGATGATGAGGTGCTGCGCACAGGCCTACTTTTGTGCTGCGCACAAGCTGGTCTCTCACCGTTATGCAGTCATGCAGAGCGACTCTAGATGCAGGGGCTGCTGCAATCTCCACAGCGGTAGGACGCGTGATGGGTGGATAGCCAGGTCTGGTGCTCATCTCATTGTAAATGCGCAAGATGGCCTGGTCTTACTACAGAGTAACCAGATGCTCACAAGTGACGCCCCATTGCCAGAAGATCTCGACACTGAGGCCAGCCCAGCCAACAGTCAACGGGCCAAACGTGAAATGAACCCTCTTCCCCAATGGAAATAGCATATCTAGGCGATCATAGGCTAGACTAGAAGAGCAAGGGGGAGCGTCTGAACAGAAGCAACGCAAGCCTGGAAGCTGGAGTGAACTAGCCTCGGATTTGAGAAGCCTCCCTAAACCTTAAGTTGAAGCTCCAGCAGCCCAGAAGTGCAGAGTAAAAGCCATTGCTAATTACACACGCTTATGGTCACGCCGTGGCTTTCCACCGTCAGAACGGAAGCTGCACCTCCCTCACAGTGGCGGCGTGGGTGACACGTGGTGGCTAAGTGCAGTGTTCGCAGGGTCGACAACCTGCGGGCACATGCAAGGTCTGCACTACATCCGGTGCTCTACCAAGAGCCACGAAAGGGACAAGAGTCAGTCTTCTGGGCAAAAAGCAAGAGACCTTCGGTCTGACTGCGCTGTTCGTACTGCAGGTTTGTCGAACTGAAGCCCAGCGGCTTGAAGCAGAGAACGAACCTGCTTGGCAATCCTCAGCGCGGCTGGCGGTCAACCACACCAAGCTGGCCAAGATGGTGAACTGCCAGGACACTTTTGTGTTTCACGCCGGAGCTTGTACACATCGATGCCTAGCAAAGCGACAGGAACGGCAAGCAAAAGCAGATTCTCTGTATCATTCTCCGGGCAGTCTAGGCGCTTCTCGCGTGGCCATGAAATTGCCTGATTGCCTGTTCCTCAGCTGCTCCGGCATGCCAGCAGATGGTGGCCGCTAAAAACCCACGGAACCCCATACCGAATCCAGGCTTTGCATATAAGTTGTATGTCATCCAGAGGCTGCTTCATCACGACGAGCCGGTATCCCTTCGACTCCAATTATGTACCTTCCCAGGCACGAACGACGATTGATCGATTTTCCCCTCGGCATCCACATCGAAGAGGTCAAAAAGCTCATCCACGGTGTGGTTCCTGAGACCAACAACAAGACATGCAGCACCGATTGCAAGAAATCTTTACCAAGTGCAGGACCACTCCGAAAGATGTGCTTGCAGACCGGGGCTCTCCACATTTATCCCCAGGTGGCGGAAACAATCCTGGACCCGCTCATCCTGCTGCCGGCGGGCGAATGGGCTTGAACTTGAGATAGCTTGCAAAGGTTCGAGGTATGACTGGTCATGATTCGATACTTCGCAACGACATCAACGGCGGCCTGCACGGCTCGGGTCGTCACATGCAGCTGATGACGAGCTGGATCAACGCACTTCACCACAACTTGAGAGGCAAGGTACCTAAACGAAACCTTCACGAGAGGAAGCGCATGCCAATATTCCTTTATTCCAATCCCTCCCGGTGCCTGTATCTCTGCCGCGAACTCTTCGTACGAGAGGTCACCCTCTTGGCCTCCGCCAACTGGTGACCACGAACACCAGCTGGAAACGAGCTGACTCCAGCACAGTTTGCAATGACTAGGACTTGCCACGACTCCAGAACTGCAATGAGACTCAGGATGTCTTGGGATGTAAGCGTGCTAGCGCAAAACGACCGGTCTGCAACTGCACGCGCTGTCACTACGGAAAAGCTCGATCATTCGACAGCGAGGAATCACACGCAAGGACCATGCAAGCTGATTGAAGAGAAGCGCTCAACAAGTTCAGTTCAACCCGCTGTCGCTACTGGCGACGGAGTGCAAAGCCATCGGACAAAGGCATGTCTCATGCACTGGAGTCAAGGTGCCAGAGTCCAACTGGGCGAACAGAGCCAGCACTTTCTTGACCCACATTTTGCGCTTCAAAGCCCTGAGTTCCGGCTCAGGCGAACTTCGTGCAAGGCTCGGGGTGTGTCTGTTCCTATAGGGTTTAGGGTTTAGAGTAAAGTACTTTGTGTGGAGTGTGGGTTCCTTGGGACGATCGGCCAACTGAGCCCCGCCAGCATGAGAAGGCATGTTGGCTCCAGTTGTCGCTTTAGCGCAGGTGTGATGGAAGGGCCGACCAGTGAGGAAACCAAGATAATCTAAAGAAGGGCTGCTCTTCAGGCGCATGGTATGCGCAATGTGCTTCAACTGCTAGTAGCTTCACTGAGATGATCTCCGAGCCCCACTCTCCCAGCGAAACTCCCGTTCATGTTTGTGACCGTCTGTGGCTCGACCCATAAGCCAGCAATGGTCTTCCGATCTCCGATCTCTCAACCCATGGCCCGGCAATCCCTACACCATGGAAGAACAGCCATGCAATCAAGTCTGCGGATTTCCAAAGGCCAAGCTTCAGTGCAGAGCGCTGATGCATTGCTTCCGTTTCGCCCAATGCCTGCGTCGCATTGTGACTCAACGCTTCGAGTCTTTCTTCCTGACATGTCATCACTTGTCCATGTCTCCTTCCTGGCCAAGGCAAACTAGAGAATGCTCCAAAAGAGGTACAACCGCCACACACGTGCGATGATCTCATACGTGGTAATCAGGTGATTTCATGTCAACCGTACCATCCGGAGAATGGCGCCTTCGCATTGTCCACAAAAATGCCTGTTATCACCTTGGCTGCCATTCGTCGAATTCCTCCTGCACCCTGAAAACAGCTCGCCAATACTATGCGCAGCAATGCAACTATCATGACTGCCTTCGAAAATGAGATAAACAGAGCATCCAAGTCACATTGATGAAACAGAACAAAGTAAAAAACACCTCAGCTGAGGTTCGCAGAATTGCGTGTCGCACACTAAATCTGTGACTCCACATGCATTCCGGCGTGCCGCTTTCTCGCCAAGCCACGTATACGCCCATGAAGTAATCCTGATTGCATGAAGTGCATTTTTCCGTTATACTTAAGTGTTACACACATACAAGAGCCGACAGTTCAATTTCAAGGCGTCCCTCTTGGTGACTGCACTTCTGTAGATTTGGGCATGTAGAACAACACACAGCTACGCTACACAGGTTACACGGGATGGCAATGCCCAAAGAGCCTGACCAAACTGTTACGAGCGGTGGGTCCAACCCACATGCTGTACCTGTTTTGCCGGAGATTCAGCTAGAAAGATTGATGGCCACACTTGGAGGAAGATGAATAAAGAACATGCGTTGTCGATTCCCTATGGCGCATGAGGCGTAGCCCAGGGCATAGCAGCCCAGCAGCTACGGCTTGGCAACTTCGACTCGCGATGATCGCAGTCATCCCTCGAGCTTAGGCTGGCTGCATCCAGGAGGTTTCTACGCTGGATGGCTTCCTGAAGCGATACTCCAATGAGACCCGGCAGTGACAGACTCGAACGCTACAACAACCCGATCAGAGCCCTGACTCAGCTTGACTCTGCGTGCAAGAATCCAAGATCCAGCTCATCGGCCCAAGCGGAGCGACGGAATCCTTCCAATCTATACCTGCTTCCACCCAGCGAGCCAGTGAGCTTGCTTTTGACAGGCACGCATCGCAAGATAAGGTCTGTAAAAACATGTAAAAACAAATCTCACAGACGAGCTCTGTCTGGATCAATAAGGCAAGCAGAATCGGCCTCCGGATATAGCCATGAAGAGCGTCAGCATGCTTCCTTTACAGCAGGTTCAAGTTGACTCCGACCGACTTCAAATAGGAACTTTACCATTTACTGGGAAAGTCCGCTCGTCTGGCTGAACCACAAGTAAGGCGGCGAAGCCTTGCAAAGGGTCATCCATGTACCTTTTCTTTATGGGGCTACATGGCAACATCAACAACCGCGAGGTTCTGCGACTTTTCAGCCTGGACAGTGACAGAATGCCCTGTGCATCCGGACAAGAAAGCGAATCATCACAATCAGCGCTTTGTCATTCGATAAGACAGGACCCACTTTCATAGTCATGTTAAAGAACAAGTGTTCTACCGGCGAAAAGGCAGGGCCTGGGTCGAAGAAAAATGCCCATGCAAAGAAACAACTTGCCCACACTTAAGAAAGCAAGGACTGTACAGTCGCTTCACTGAAGACACAATGCACTCACAAAACCAGGGGCAGAGACAGACACGCACACCACGAAACTGTAGGTAAGTATCCGTGCGCTTCCTCTTCTTCCCCACAACGGCGAGAACAGAGCAGGCTCTCCCTCTCGCTGTCGAATTACAACACATCTGCGTGCATCTTCCACGCGCCGAAACCGAATGAACAAACAGACTCCTTGACTGCGGCACTCACACACTCATCTCCTCGCTGCAGTTTGCAAAAACTAGGGCTTAACCGTCTGGCTCCTTAAACAATTCTCCCTAGGAGTCCTATGCCGAGCCGAGACACTGCCCAAAGTACCGTAGTACTTCGTCACTTCAGATGTGTCAGCCTCGTTGGTCTGAAGATGGGCATACGCCAGTTGCATGAGGGTGACGCCGAAGATGAACCTCAGAAAAAAGTATCCTAGGAACAAGCGTGCTAGTGCCTGCGACCATCCACAGCATGACGCAAGCCCAATCTTTTGGATCTCAAAGTGAGGAAGGAATGTCCATTGCACGGTTCACGGGCCCTGGTACATGCAAAACGCCGAGCGAACGGGCTGACATGCATGGCATGTTGCATGACGATTGCCAGCAGCATCAACGCCCAGAACAGGACTCGCACAGACCTTGGCACGGACCGTGTCAGCACACAGACGCATACACACACACACACACAGACACACACACACACGGGCACAGCCTTCCCTGCTAGCTTGGCTGCTTGGCTCAGCAAATGCGGGACGACTTTGTGCGGATGGAGACTTTTGCTTGTGGGCTGAGGGCATCAATGTCCAGGACGAAGCTGACAATACAAGACGGATTTCGAATTGAAGAGCGTGAGCAATGGAGCAGTACTTTGTAGGCGAGGCCGTTCGGCACGCTGTTGAGTTGCTGTCTCTTCAGCGAAGGCTTTCAAGGCATTCCTTCCCCCCCGCGAAAAGATAACTTTTCCCGCCGGGCCCGAAACATCTGGAAAAGGTACATGTTGTCCTGCACTTAAAACATGGGACTAAGACTGAGAATGTGCTTGCTCTTGAGGATGCCTTGAAGCTTTTGCAGGGCTTTAGCGATTCACAAATGCAAAGATTTTCCGGTCAATAATGCAGGCAATGTCGTTGAATATTTCCTCTAGCATTTCAGCAGGTGCAGCCGTTCGCATGGAAAACGGGCACCACTCTCCTCTTCCATATCCCTCGTACCAGAAAACTTGGGGCAAGTTTGCGCTGCAATACGCTCTATGAAACTCTTGTGCTCGGACTCTTCATGCTAGACTTCAGCTGGAGAAAAGTGGTGCTGAACACTCCCACGTGCCGATCCCTTCCCCGTCCACATACTGTGGCAGAGCCGCCCTGCTATTCCGTTGACCATGATGCGCAGGTCGCTGCAGAAACGAACAACTCGCCTCGGCAGGCGTTTGCTTTCTCGAGCTATTTTCAAAAGCAGCTGGCAACAACATGACTGCAAGACTCGACTGGAAACTTCAATGCCCGACGCATTATGCTGATTATCGTTGATTATAAGCACTGCGACCCGGCTGCTGCAGCAGGTCCAACTTCTACTTCTAAAACCACTTCCACTTCTATTTCTACTTCTACTACGACTACGACTGCGACCACTACTACTATTGCTCCTACTACTACTACTACTACTACTACCACTACTACTACTACTACTACTACTACTACTAGTACTACTGCTCCAGTTAACAAAGACCACCTTAATATGCCAACATAATGCCGGGAGGGCATTTTTGCCCGAATCTTCGGGAGTTCAAAGGAGCCAGGAGGAGATTTAAATTTTAAGTTACGGGATATTAGGCCTAGGGATCCTTCAAGGTAAAGGACTGGGACCGATACCTGTATCGAGGCTCTCTTTCGCAGAGTTTATGTTGAGGGATTTGCCCATATCCGAAACCTTTCGATTGCCAGGAAGAGGGTGCACTAGAACGTATGGGTTGAGTTGACTGCAAGAACTGCTGCCAGTAAGGTCCGCAGGAAGGTAGGACTGCAGGGTCTGCGGCCTGCCCAAGGAAGGGTGTAGAATATGTCCAGGACATAAGTGAAAGATGCTAAAACCTAAAACCCGCTTCAAGAAAAATCGGCGGGGGGGAGAGGGGAGCGGTGGTTTTTATAATCGGGGGACGTGACGACTATTACTACTACTACTACTACTACTACTACTACTACTACTAGCACCACCACCACCGCCGCCACCTCCAGGACCACCACTACCACTACCACGGCGACGACGACGACTACTACTGCTCCACTAACGCCACCACTACTACTACTACTACTACTACTACTACTACTACTACTACTACGGTACCAGTACCACTGCTACGACGACTGCCTGCTGCAACCGCCACCATGATCACCCACATCAACAGCGCAATCAGGCCAGTCTTGGTTGCCATGCTTCTACTCCAGCCCTGCAGAAAAGGCTTCAAAAGTAGTCACATATATTGACGAGACGACCGTATTCACTGGATTTTCGGCACTAGTACAGGTACCCCGAAAGCGTCCCAATAGCTGGCCAGGCGCAGCAGTCTCAGGACACGCACCAAGCGTATCATGCGCAGGAGTCGGAACTGAGAAAGCTCGATTGCAAATCCTGCAACTACGACAGGATCGGACAGCGGGGGCTCTTACAATTGCTGTATGATCTTTTGGGACAAGCTTTCGTGACGACCCGCGGCCTAGCAGCACAATCGCCTCATCGGCAGTCGATATGGCCTCAGAGATGTGGAATTAACCGAAGGCAAGACTCTGTCTGCCGGTCAGATGGGCATGATTATCACGGCCTATAGAATACTGTAGAACCACAGCCTCTTAGTTAGCGACTGCCTCGATCATCATGAGACGTTGTTGGAGCTGCAAGTCTCAAGTGCGGCTGGGATGCGACAAAGAAAGTGTCCATCCAGTTCCACCCAAACCTCGTCAACTTCTGAGCAACGCACTCGCTGCAAATTCTGTCTTTCGATGCTGACCAATGGTGGACAAACCGTGTCCCTGAAAGGATCTTGGACGAAAAACCCACCTGACATGGAGGGCAGGCGGCAGCAACGTAGCTCTGCTAGCAATTGCTTTCAATCGGCACTCCAAACACGGCAAGGCACTCTGGGTTTCTTGTGCTGAAGAACATCTTGCCGTCTGCAAAAATGCGAAGCACAAGCTCCAACACGAACGCCACGCACCAGGTGATGTCGAATATGCGGAAAATTACCTCATCATGGCTCTGTATCAGGTAGACGAGCACAATCACGATTAGAAATTCAAGCATAGCACATCACAGCCAGTGCAACCAACGGGCATGCGGCTCCTTGGCTTCTGCAATACGCACACAATGCGTAAATCTTTACCCTTCCTCACTTCCAGCATCTTCCACCCCTCCAGTGGCAAACTCGTTGGAAAGAGCATATCAAGGCTGCTCTCATGGATGCAGCATTACTAATCTTTCGGAAACAAGTGGGAAACTCGTGTCCCGGCCATCACGAAGGGAACGGGGACAGACCAGCAACCAAAAACTAGTGAATTAATCCCAGCTGCTGAGTGGATATCCTGCATTGCCACATGTGTTTCAGCACCCAAGGTTGCTGACGATGCCAGCAGCGTCACCATCACCAGTAGCTCAAAGCGGGCATTGCGCACGAGCTGGTGGCAAATTCCTAAGCAACGAAAAATGCTCGTCTGATCCATCCGATGCCGGGTGGAAAAGTTGAAGCATGCAGGCTTCGACAGTATGCCGCTTAGTTATTAGCAGCAATCGTCAGTCTTCTCGGTATGTAACTACACAATCAGTCTGACAGTAAGTTAGGCTTCCCTGCGCATTGAATAAAGATTTCTCTGCGCCTCAGACTGACGGCAGGCAGGGCGCGTCTGTGCCAACGCATGTCCGACTCCTTGCAAGCGTGATGGCACATAATGAAACTACAGCTTGGTTTGGGGGATGGCAGGCTCGTGAAGACTACACCCGAACACAGCATCATCTCTGCTCTGCATACTGCAGATGTGTGGCATTGAAGTGGAACGTGGTCACCGACTTTGCCAGCGGGATTGGGGTCGTCCCAGAATCTCAGTTCACAACAAGCACGTGGGTTTGCACGCCCTGCTGCCCTGCCAAGACACACGCGCACACACACACACACACGCAGAGGAAACCGCGCTGCGGCAAAGGAATCAAGTTACCTGCATCAAGCATCGCTTGTCGAGTCGCGACTTTAAAGTTTCCAGCGGTCCAGAGTCCAGGACCCGACTGGACTCAACGCTGGTGGATCAGAGTTTGCCAGAGTGCTATGTTTTGTGGCTCAGCTATCTACGTGCAATTCGAGCAGGTGCGGGCGCCCATACGTCCATGATCCCTCCCCGCATAGTTCTTAGATGTTCTTGGCTTCGCTTCGCTGGGCCAGGTCCCGACGATGGGACTTGTCCGCCTGGACTAATGGCTGCTTCTCCCTCTGGGACAGGGTTCGACTCACACTTTATGCTTGTGGGATTTCGGCAAGAGCAAGAGGCAACAGAAGAGGGGTGAGGCAGGGTTGTTGTTCGTTGTTGCACACAAGCCACGGCTGCTGCAAGCTGCTCAAGAAACAACAGCGAGGATAATCAATGCACAGCGAGTATTCTAGCGGCATTGTTACGTTAAGGATGTCACAAGTATTCACGCAGGTGCAACGACAGGCAGCTGTAGGAGTGACCCTCAGAACGTCAGATGCTGCGCGTGCTGCCATGCAGCTCCTCTTTTTCTCCCCCATCCTCAGTATCCGGCAGTCAGTGGCCGTCACCGCTTCTGACTGCACCTTGCTATCCAAGTCTCGTTGCGCTCTTGGAGAAGGACACCGTGAGCTTGGCTGGAGTTTCTCTTGAAAGGCTGGGCCCTTGCCGGTCCTGTCACAGGCAGTGCTCAGCACCTTTGCCAAATCTTGGGTCGCTCCGGGCCGGCCTCTGGCATCTCGCGGTTGCCCGCGCTGTTCCTCGGCCCAACCCACAACTGTGAACTGGCAGCTGCTGCGGCTGCTGCGACGATGGGATCCAACACGCAGGACTTCTGTGGCATGGGTACTGGGCTGGAATTGAAGAGGATCGATGCTGAGTTCTGCGGGTTGGTGCATGGTCTTGTGGGGGCTTGCCTTCACCAGCATGCCATTTACAGTAATTTACAGCCTATCCCGCCTATCCCCGGGTTGCTCAGGTCTGCAACCTCCTAAACCGTCGTTTCAGCGCGTTGAAGCGATAGCTTTTCATGCCTGGAGGCCGCTTCCATGATGCGATCTCTGTGGCAGGAACCAAGGCAGACTGCCGCAGGCCTTTGCAGCATGTGTACTGCCACGAGACTGCCGCCAAGCCGACATTCGTAGAAGCTTGAAGCTGAGCTGAGCATATGGCAGCTGCTCGGCAGACTTGGCGGTGGAAGGACAGGACCTGTTTCTCTTCACGGCAATGCGACTTCAAGTGCGATCATTTAACTTTTAACCTTTTTCATTGACCGGTTATGTAAAGTTTACGCATCCCAAACCGGCTGGACTTTGGACGAACTCGATCCCTGGAAGTTGATTGCTTGGACATTTTCGCAGCCTGGGCAAGCTCGAGCACGTGTTTCTGGTGTGGTGAATTCATACTTGCAGCTTTCATAGTCAAACGAGCGACTTTCTGCCGTCACCTGGAGCGGGAGCGGGATCTCCTGTGAGGCGTCTTGCGAAGCTTCTGACTTTCACACTCAGGCTTACAGGACTGAGCATGTCTGAGCTGCTTAGGATGGCGGGCCCAATCCCGGTGTGGACAGTCGTTCTCGGCACATTGTACATCGGGACGTGGCTCCTTAGGTCGCAATAGATCTTCCCTCAAGTGGCCGCTCGACCCTGGGGATGTGGGTCCTGCGCATTGATGCAGCCAGGTTGGTCAAGATGATCACCATGAACGTGCCTCTGCAAGCAGCTGGGTCCACGCCAGTAGTCACTAGCATTCCATCGACATGCCGTGCTGGGTGCCGGTATCGCACAACTCCAGAGAAAAGGTGTCTGTTTGTGAATGCAGAAACAGCAAATCCATGACCTCTGCAACACTGGAGAATTGCAACACGAACGCTATCGACGAAATGCTGCACAGCCTTACTTATCCCTGTCCATCCAAACCTCGAAGCCGGCGATGTCTCATTCCAGCCGAGCATCAAAGGCAAGAGGTCCTGATGAACCTGAAGAACCCGCTGCTCCAGAGGCGCAAGTTGCAGCCGCACGGCCTACAGATGTCATGCAGGCCAGCACGGGATCAAGATGAACAAGACTTCAACATGCGGGGGTGTTCTAGAGCGCTTTGACGTGACGCCGCCACAGGTTAGACTGCAAGTATCTGCAGGTTCCATCCAAAGCAAGGCCACAGCGCTTCTTTTCAAAGCCAAATCGTGCAAGCACGGTCACTGCCGGAGCTTGCCCGCTTCGATTCCCAAAGTGCTTGCAGGAACACTTGGCTGGCGAGTCAAGCCTACAGCCTACCTAAGTCCAAGCGACCTCAACCTTAGACTTAGACTGTCAGCTCTGCTGAATTAAGCTGTCGGCTGTGTGTCCGTGGCGCTTCGAACCCTTTGTCTGCATTACAGTACCCTTCTCGATGTCAAGGGAATGCTCATCAAATTGAGGTCCTCGTCGATCCTCGTCATTGTGCCTTTGGCACGGCTAATTCATGTCTAGAGTCTAGAGTCCTGTTCATTCAGCATTCGTTCGGACTACTCACTGCCTGGCATGTCTGGCGTAATATGTGAGGAACGGCAGATTGCCCAGGCCTCATGTTCTAAGGCTTCCGAAAGGCCCTGTTTTAAATTAAAAGGACCGGTCAGTGAAGGCAACGGGATTGCTGCAAGATGCTCAAAATCTGAAATACGAGAACCACCGCGCCCTAGCCATCAATGACCTCTAAGTTGAGCCCGGCTCGCACCTTCGTGCGAGCCGAGCACCCTTGTCACGGGCACGGGAGATGCACCTCCATCCGTGCCTGGGAAAATTCCTCTCGCGCGTGTCCGTCAGGAGTTTAGACACAGCTCGTGGCAACCTCTATGCTCAACGTCAGCGCTGCTGCGATACACGAGAGGAGCCTTTACAATTGTATGGCACGCTCTTGAAGCAAGGCTTTCAGCCAGTGTGTCGGTTTAACCACTTAGAAACTTAAATGCGGGTTTCACCTGCACCGCTGTCTCACTGGACCCTCAAGTCTTCGAGAGGAAGTCTACAGATGGAGACTGGAGCAACGAAAGCAAAACTTGCAAAACTTCTCAGAGAGGTACCTTCTGCGTCTCCTCCTCTACTTCTTCACCGTCGCACATGTCCCCTCTCGTGACGAAAACAGGAGCATCTTCGTCAATGTCTTCGATGCCTTTGATCTGTTGCGAAAGTTCCGTTTATGCATGCAATGTGTACCGTGGTAGCAGCTGTTGCTTCTGCCCAAACCACACAAATTGGATACATCCACTGCACTTCACAGGCTGGGCACGGCCCATCGACTTCTCATCTATGACGGACTCCATCAGCATCTCCAATGGCATATCATAGCTTCGTACACCTACAAGCCAATGCAAGCTCTCTTTTATAAAGGTTCTGACATAGCAAAGCCTGCCATGAGAAGGCAGCATCCATTCTAGACGCGAAATCTGTTGCAGCTACGGGCTTGCAGTGAAACAGTTCTCACTGCTGACCATGCAGGATGCTCAGCTCCTAACCCAAAATCCTATGCCTTAGCTCCCTCCCGGCCAGGCCACTTACTGCACCTGGGCTCGGACAAAACATGCCTCAGCTGCCAAACGCAGACAGGCTTACTCAGGCTTGCTCACCTACTTAGTTCTAAGCTCGAACTACAAAACGGACCAGCTCTAACCGCTCCATTAACGAAGGCGCCACAAAAACTGTGCAGGTTCCCTCCGACCCTCGAATCTGGGAGACTAACTCAACATCAGAAGCGTCGCTGCTTTCCAAGCGTGGAGTGATTGCGGGGCTGGAGTTCGCCGTTTCCACAGCATTGAAGTCGGCTGGATCCTGGTAAAGCCAAGCTTGAGCACCACATCGAGGCAGAGCAGCGGGACGGGCGTAGCTTAAAGTGACCCTGCCCAGGCCACTGCATGCTCAACAAACCATGTAATGTAACATGCACATCGACCTGGCCCGCTGCGAAGCACAGTGCGTGTATTTACTCTCGAGACATTGCATGGCTGCAGGAAAAGGAAACCTGCGCGTGCAAGCCAAAATCAACAATACTTCAGAATCCGTCAGCCGTGCTTCCATGGAGTTGGCGCAATCTTGCAATGCCTCGTCATATTCCAGATCCTCAGTCGTCGGACAATCCGAAAATCCCTGCATCACATCCACTTCCTCCTTTTGCATCTTGTTTCGAGATTGCCGCATTAAGAGTGTTGCCGTGGGGTTTTCTGTGCCACGACGGGCCTGCTGTGCTGTCATGTTGTCCGATACCGCCAAAGCACCTGGGCCAACCCCTCCACGTTGTTCTGATACTTCCGGAACCTGTGAGACGGAAGTTGATTGCAAGCAACAGAGCACAAGTGCCAACAGAATCGTAGAAGCTGACAATGTCAAGACCTTTTCGCAATTGTTTATCTGTTACGAACTCGACCCTCAACAACTGTGCCGTGCCTCGCGCAGACTTCCTCGATTTGTTCCTTGATGAGCGCGGATGACCCGTGCGGGGAGAGTGGTAGCGCGAGCAGCTGCAGCAAAGCGCCTTACGTATGCTGAAATTGCGGAAGAAGCAGTGGTAGCTGACCGAGTCCTGTTTTCCCAGCCAGGTAGCGGTAGGCGTGTTCGAGTCGGCCCCCGACCTGTGAAACAACAGCGAGTGGCGAAGATGACATTACATCAACCCCAAGGTTCAGGGGCGCCTTCGGAAAAAGGGCCTTGTTAGCCATGCCTGTACGGATTCTGGGCTTGGAAGTTCTGCATGCACTGCACCAATTAGTCTTGCAGCGAACACGAATCAGGCGATGCTTGCCTGACGTCAGTGTTGCTGAGTTCTGCGACGCCGTTGGCATCTGCAGACTCTTCTGCGACCGAAGGTGCCCGGGGATGACACGATGCTGCTGAGGGGCTTCCCGGCTGGCTTCCTTAAGGACCCACAACCTGCCTGATGTCCGAAGCCAAGTCCGAAATGGCGAAGTTCGTCGTAGAAATCGGAACCTGAGCTTACGGCCCGCCCTCCCGAAGGTCGGAGGACAACGGATCCGCAGGGTTTAGAGGAAAACTTCCTGCAAGGGGCAAGCATCCAGAAATTTCGCAACCCTGCTGAACATGATACCCCTCAACCCCAGTTCAGCACCAGAGCCAGGAAATTCAAAGTTCGGGTCCGCATTGACGGTGACCAGTTCCAAATGTCGTTCCGAGGCCCGTGAACTTGCCGAGAGGGTCCTGCGACGGCGATTCTCAGGAATATCAAATCTGGCAGGGGGATAAGGTGCCCTGGGCGAACGCGACTGACAAGCACCGAACAGCAGCTTGTGGTTGCTGTCCGATGTTGCAAGGAGCGGGCCTGGACACCAACACGGAACCGCCAACACTTGGAGAGGCCGTTGCTGCGAGCAGAAGACGAGCAAAAGACGGATCACGTAGCATTCCCCGCGACAGCAGCACCACGAAGTAGGATGCATAGGACATCATCATTCGGACCTGCATCCATCAGCTTGCTGCTTCCTACCCGGCAGCACCCGCCGGAGCAGTCTCTACTCAAGCTTGCTCCGATGCTACAGTTGCTGTTGGGTTATTTGAGTAAAATCAAAAGCCTTCTACGGGCATGCTGCCTCGAGCTCCGTCCGGACAATGGCACAGGTTACTTGCAAGCGCTTCTGGACCATGTGCTGGCATATCTCGATAACACTCAGGGCTTCCGCATCTTGCACCGCACCCGTCATCAGGATCCGAGCCTTAGCTCTTGCGGTGCATCGAGCCTCAAGCCCATGGTGGCTAGGAAGCAAGAGCTTTGAGGGCCACAGCGAGCCATGCTCACGAGTCGTTGCCCAGCTTTTGAAGCTAAGTACGTCGTACTTTCCTTCGGTCAACAAAGGAAGCGGCAAAAATGAGCCGAGTCACCTTGGAAGTGGTGCCGAAGTGTTCATGGTAAGTCTTGCGCGACAGGGCACATCTCAAAGCGATCTTCTCGATGGCTTCCTTGGCACATTCGGATCTGTCTGTACGCTCTGCGGCCTGAGCCTATATCGGTTTGCTAGTGGGCTCTGGAGCTCTTCAGATCTTGCCCTGGGGCCCAGATGTGGCCTGAAGCTCAAAAAGGCCATGATCCACTACCTGCTTTTGCCAAGGTTCCTGTTTTTCGGCATCTCTGCCGAAGCGCGGCATCATCACGCCATGCAGCGCAAGCAGGACTTTGAAGGCTTGCACGACATCTGATGTGGAGATGCCTTGACCTGAGAGCTGCCCTATCTTGCGGCATCAACGGCAAATCCGTTCACTGCTTTTTCCCTGAAGTTGTCTGGATTCCAGAATCGGCCCAGCTGCAACTAAGTGCATGTTGTTCGTCGGCAGACCACATTTGCGGTATGATATCGATCTGGTTTTCCGTGTAACTCATAAAACCATCGCACCTCACCTCGACTGCGCACTCGAATCTGGCAGAAGGCCACGGCACTTGGGGCGACTTGCAAGCCGAAGAGCCGCTATCCAACTCTGGGCCACTTACTCCCTTGACTGAAATGAGACCTCATGCAATCCAGGAGTCTGGCACGGTGAGGATCGCATTCCTAGGCGAAAGAGACAGCATGATCAGCATGCTGGCTGATTACAGCTGTCACTATCTTTGTCTGATGTACTTCAACCGCTTTAGCCGGAAGCCGGAAGCCCAAGCCGCTAAACAAGGATTCTCCGACTAAATCCCAGGCGAGCAGCTTGTGAGCCGTTGCGACTTCGCCCGCACACCACATGCGCTTCGGCAGCTCCTTTTCGGTTTTCGCAAGTTGGTGGTGTTTCCAAGAATTTGGAGCACCGGCAGTGATCAATGGCCCAGGCAGAACAGCCCTACGTCCCCGAGTCTGTTGAATCCTACTGGAGGCCCAAAAGCGTCGAAGATCTCCTGTCCGCTTCGGGAGGGCCTTTTATAAGATCTCGTAAGCAAGTGCATTTGCAAAGCAGTTGGGAGTCGCAGTGCAGTTGACAAAAATCGCCCGAAGTGCTCCGGAAATCTTACATTAAGATACATTAAGAACGTATTGGCCAGCCCTTTTTGGGCTGGGTGACT